CAAATGGGAAAATAAATAAACATAAATATGGGTTGTATTTACAATGGTGTTTGTTCTTCACTGGTTTCCCTTTTCTTGTGGCAACAGGTCACAAATCTTGCAGCTGTGATGGCACACTGTGGTTTGTCACCCAGTAGATAAGGGAGTTTATCAAAATTGGGTTTGTTTTCGAATTCTTTGTGGATCGCTGTAATCTGAGGGAAATATGTGTCTCTAATATGGTCATACATTTGGCAGGAGGTTAGGAAGTGCAGCTCAGTTTCCACCTCTCTCTCTCTCTCTCTCTCTCTCTCTCTCTCTCGCTCTCTCTCGCTCTCTCTCTCACACACACACACACACACACACACAGGGAGAGAGCGAGGGGGAGAGAGAGAGAGAGAGCGAGAGCTTGTTTCCTAATATGGTTAAGACGGAAAAAAGGTGAGCCAGGTAATACCCCTCCTCATTGTTTAAATTAGTTGACGTCATGAGATTGACCGTTCTTATAAATCAAGCACTTCTCAACTACAGAATCATATAGCAATAGATGTTACATTAAGTGTTTGTATAGGTGATACGCAGACATACCAGTGTTCGTTTGGTGAACAAGATATAATTGGAGTGTGTCAACTGCTTGGACGAGCCGTAACTGTGAGGAAAATAGGAAGCTTGTGTCGCTCAGGTGTTTACTCCATCTTTGTTTTCAAGGTTTTTCTCAAATTCAACTATGAAGATTTGGATTGCACTTCTTCTTGCGACTTTCGCAGTGGGTGTATCAGCTCAAGATCAATGTAAGTTGCTTTTAAAATTGGCATTTTAACAAGGCAAATGTGTTCGAATCAGTACCTATAGAAATGTGTAAGTAGCCCTAATCTCTAGCCAATTTTGATTAGTTGGAGGCTGTTGGCTAAAATGTATAAAAATTGGGTGGGTAACTTTATTTTATTGTTTTATTGCCCTCAGTGTTGTTCGCTGCCTAACGCTACATATAGACAGCCAGGCCTAATCAAGTTTTTTGGTATAACATCGTTTGCCTAAATATTACAATGACATTGTATATGACGCAATTGTATGCTTTTAGTTATAGTCAAACCACCAGTTTCGGTGCGCAAAGGACAGTGGGGGTTGGGAGAAATAGGTCTGTTTTGTGTAACCAACGCCCAGTACGAGCTCTCTACCGGTAGGCTTAATTACACCCTCTATGGGAATTCCTTTGGGACTTGTTCTAACTGCCTTCACTCTAATAAACATAGCATTGTTATTTCTAGCAGATATGTCAATTACATCACCTGTTAGCCTCATGTAGATTTGACCGGTTTAATTTGTCTTTCACAGGCATATGTGACAGTTTTAAGTGGGCTACATGTGATGGCCCTCCTTGCCAGTGTAGCGTCACGGTGGGAACTGGTGAGAATCAAAACCTGGACTGCTCTAAATGTAAGTACCTCTACTACACTACTCAAAAAAATAAAGGGAACACTTAAACAACACAATGTAACTCCAAGTCAATCACACTTCTGTGAAATCAAACAGTCCACTTAGGAAGCAACACTGATTGACAATACATTTCACATGCTGTTGTGCAAATGGAATAGACAACAGGTGGAAATTATAGGCAATTAGCAAGACACCCCCAATAAAGGACTGGTTTTGCAAGTGGTGACCACAGACCACTTCTCAGTTCCTATGCTTCCTGGCTGATGTTTTGGTCACTTTTGAATGCTGGCGGTGCTTTCACTCTAGTGGTAGCATGAGACGGAGTCTACAACCCACACAAGTGGCTCAGGTAGTGCAGCTCATCCAGGATGGCACATCAATGCGAGCTGTGGCAAGAAGGTTTGCTGTGTCTGTCAGCGTAGTGTCCAGAGCATGGAGGCGCTACCAGGAGACAGGCCAATACATCAGGAGACGTGGAGGCCGTAGGAGGGCAACAACCCAGCAGCAGGACTGCTACCTCCGCCTTTGTGCAAGGAGGAGCAGGAGGAGCACTGCCAGAGCCCTGCAAAATGACCTCCAGCAGGCCACAAATGTGCATGTGTCTGCTCAAATGGTCAGAAACAGACTCCATGAGGGTGGTATGAGGGCCCGACGTCCACAGGTGGGGGTTGTGCTTACAGCCCAACACCGTGCAGGACGTTTGGCATTTGCCAGAGAACACCAAGATTGGCAAATTCGCCACTGGCGCCCTGTGTTCTTCACAAATGAAAGCAGGTTCACACTGAGCACGTGACCGAGTCTGGAGACGCCGTGGAGAACGTTCTGCTGCCTGCAACATCCTCCAGCATGACCGGTTTGGCGGTGGGTCAGTCATGGTGTGGGGTGGTATTTCTTTGGGGGGCCGCACAGCCCTCCATGTGCTCGCCGGAGGTAGCCTGACTGCCATTAGGTTCCGAGATGAGATCCTCAGACCCCTTGTGAGACCATATGCTGGTGCGGTTGGCCCTGGGTTCCTCCTAATGCAAGACAATGCTAGACCTCATGTGGCTGGAGTGTGTCAGCAGTTCCTGCAAGAGGAAGGCATTGATGCTATGGACTGGCCCGCCCGTTCCCCAGACCTGAATCCAATTGAGCACATCTGGGACATCATGTCTCTCTCCATCCACCAACGCTACGTTGCACCACAGACTGTCCAGGAGTTGGCGGATGCTTTAGTCCAGGTCTGGGAGGAGATCCCTCAGGAGACCATCCGCCACCTCATCAGGAGCATGCCCAGGCGTTGTAGGGAGGTCATACAGGCACGTGGAGGCCACACACACTACTGAGCCTCATTTTGACTTGTTTTAAGGACATTACATCAAAGTTGGATCAGCCTGTAGTGTGGTTTTCCACTTTAATTTTGAGGGTGACTCCAAATCCAGACCTCCATGGGTTGATGATTTTTGTTGTCAGCACATTCAACTATGTAAAGAAGTATTTAATAAGATTATTTCATTCATTCAGATCTAGGATGTGTTATTTTAGTGGTCCCTTTTATTTTTTTGAGCAGTGTATGTCAGGCCACATTAATCTTATTTGGGAAACTTTTAAAGGTACAGTCAATCATGATTTTCCTGTCTTTATATTTTGCTATATCTACACCTAGGTTGGAATAATATTGGGGAAATGATAATGCCTCTGTAAGAGCTGTTTGAAAAGACTGCCTGAAAATTCAGCCTGTAGGTGAGATTGAGTTTCGATGAGGTTTCACGGTGGCTGGCATCCAATACATTTTGCATTACCGCCACCTACTAGACTGGGGTATAAATCTTGTATACTTTGCGTGGAGAAAAGAGGGGGTGGGGGAGGTATACCCTACACTAAGAGGGGGTGGGGGAGGTAAACCCACCACCCTATTCCACTGTTTAAACCGGTCTGGTCCAGCTCAGGCCAACGACCTGATCCAACCATAAATTCACACATTGTGCCCATGGCAGAGAGGATGGAAGTTCAATATGTAGTTAGATGTTGTAGGCTAATGTTAACCTCTACGGGATCAGTGTCTCGTATACGGGACGGTTGAGCTAACGTGCGCCAATGTAATTAGCATGACTGTTAGTAACAGCAAACTTTCCAGGACATAGACATGTCTTATATGGGCAGAAAGCTGAAATTGTTGTTAATCTAACTGCACTGTCCAATTTACAGTTGCTATTACAGTGAGAAAATACCATGCTATTGTTTGAGGAGAGTGCACAACAAAAACTTATCAAGGCAACTGGTTTGATACATTCACCTCTGAAGGTAAATAATGTACTAACATTCAGTAATCTTGCTCTGATTTGTCATCCTGAGGGTCCCAGAGATAAAATGTAGCATAGTTTTGTTTGATAAAATCCATTTTTATATTCAAATGTAGGAACTGGGTTCTGCAGTTTGAACCCTTGCTGTCGCTGGCTCCACACCCACCCCGCCCGGCCATCTAGATGTGTATAAGCTAATGATCCATCATGTATGACATTCCTGGGAGTGTGTAAACTTACATTTTTCATTTATGTATGTTCTGTATAGTTATGTATCAATTGACCAATTTGGGCAGACTTGATACAAAATAGTCCAGTATTGCAATGCTTCACTGGATCAATCTGAAACGTTGCACACACTGCTGCCATCTAGTGGTCAAAATCTAAATTGTGCCTAAACTGCAATCTTATATTGTGGCCTTTGTCTTGCATTTCAAAGAATAGAAAACGCATGTATTTTTGTATTATCTTTTACCAGATCTAATGTGTTAGATTCTCTCCTACTTTCATTTCCAAAAACTTCAAAGTGTTTCCTTTTCAAATGGTATCAAGAATATGCATATCCTTGCTACAGGCAGTTAGCTTTGTGTGTCATTTTAGGCGAAAATTGACAAAGGGTCTGTTCCTTAAGATGTTAACACACCCGGTTATCCCTTGTATGGGATAACTGAAATATCCTAATGTCACTTTGTCGGGCAAAGACTCAACATCAACACTCAAAAGAACCGACAATTACTTCTGTTTCACCACTCACGGCACCCAGTCTGCCTCGCTCCAAATGCAGAGGATCCCAAACACCGGGAATCTTCCTTTGTTTGGTCCACTTTTACATTTTAATCACTCCTTTCAACTGTACTCTTTAGAGCAAAACAAGTCACAACCCTTGTCCCCATTCATGTGGTGCGGAGTGCCCATTCCCTCTGACCGGCAGAAACGATCACAAAACCACTTCAGGTTACCTTCATAGTCCACAGCACCAACTCCATTTTCACCCACCCTTAAACCACATGGATCAGCCAAAAGGCAGGGGGCCACTTTCTCCAAAAATTTCACTAATTCTTATCCTGACCATCGGTGCAAGCCTTGGGCTCCGAACTTCAGCACACCTGCCACCTCCAAAGTTTTTTTTTTTTTTAACCCAGTTTTCCACTCAGACCGTTCTAGCTATATTCTACTTGAGAAATTGCTCTTTTTTTCATACTTCTTGTTTCAACTATTGCAACTACAGCCAGTGTTCATGGGTTGAAATAATTTTCAGGGACTGGTGACACTTGTTCTCATACAGTGTTATTTTGGCTATGAATGATTCTACTTATTCTTCCTCTCCTGTCAGTGATCCCCAAATGCTTCCTGATGAAGGCAGAGATGTTCCGTGCTAGGCATGGCCTGTCCACTCGTACCGGAGGAAAGCCAGTCGATACTGCCTTTGTGGACAACGATGGCATCTACGACCCAGACTGTGATGCCACTGGTGCCTTCCGGGCCAAGCAGTGCAATAACACTGAGGTGTGTTGGTGTGTCAACAGTGCTGGCGTGCGCAGGACCGACAAGGGAGACAAGAGCCTTCGGTGTGAGAAGCTGGTGGAGACCTAGTAAGTTCCTATCATGCATTTTAGAATAAAGGGCTACCATCATTCATGCAGGATGTGTTTTCGGCTTTGATTTACAGACTAGGTACACGTGTTGTGTGAACCATAAGTTCTAGATGATTAAGTTGCGATGTGAAGGTCTGAGGGTAGAGATGCCAAAGATTGCTAGGATTAATCTAAATTCTGATGACTAGGCCATTGTACCAGGTATTTAAATCTAATCTACCCCCTGTCCCTCCCTCTCCTCCAGTTGGGTTCGCCTGGAGCTCAAGCACAAGGCTGTGAACAACGCCGTGGATGCTGCTAAGTTGCAGGAGTAAGTAGTTGTCTCTTTTTATAGAATGAATCTTGTCAATTGAATATTATAATACTCGTCAAATGTTGACACGTGCATGAAATAACTAACTGAACTTTTGTCCTAATGCAGTGCCGTCGCAACTGCCATCCAGAACCGTTACAGCTTTGACAAGACCCTTGTGAAGGAGGTCCAGTACGACCCTAAGGCTCGCCTGATCGTCGTCGATGTTCAGAAGGAGAAGGGAGACCGCAAGGCCGACCTGTCTCGTATGGCTTACTACATGGAGAAAGACGTAAGCCATGACCTCTCTCCTTGCTTTGCAATTTCACTAAAGTAACAAAGATCAAGGTCTCTCTTGGGAAAGATGCCTTCTGACCTCAATGGGACTTCCCAGTTAAAATAAAAATGGTCACTATTCCCAGGTCAAGGTGCTGCCCCTGTTCAAGGACCAGGCTAAGTTTGAGCCCAGTGTGGACGGTCAGAAGCTGGAGATGGAGAACATCTTGGTGTACTATGTAGACGAGGAGGCCCCCACCTTCACCATGAAGAGGCTGACCGGGGGAGTCATCGCCGTCATTGTGGTGGTCATGCTGGCCGTGGCCGCCGGACTGCTGGTCCTTTTCCTTAAGAGGAGGCGAGAGCAGAGGTATAGCAAGGCAGAGGTGAGTGCTCCAATATATTTAACTGAATACCATATTAAGGAAGTGTTTGCAACGTGTTGATAAGTGGTCATGGTTTTATTAATGCAACCCTGTGTAAACTGTAGTAATGACAATCATCATAACCATACTAGCGTGTTGAAAAAGCACTTGCCCTCTGTTGCCTAATGTTTTGTTGCTTCTCTTTCAGCCCAGAGAGCTGGAGGCCATGTAGACATCTTAACCACAGAGCCGGTTCTACGCTGAAATATTAACACCTTGTTTATTCTGTTTGCAATTGTGCGGTTTTTAATATTGTTACTGAGGGATGCCGCTTGTAAAGGATTGGTCATATTCTATTTGGCACTGTTACTACCGCACAACATTTTTATGAGCTGTTGATAGAATTTTTAGCTTGATGTCTGTACAGCTGCTTACGCTGATTTCAAATAAAATGTTGATTAAAAGAAGAGTTTTGGATGCTGTGGATCCTGCAAACTCAACTCTGGATATGGAAGCCAGTTCAACTTTTATTTTTTTCAGGGACTGATTTTTAGACCTGGGGCACCAGGTGCGTGCAATTAAGTATTAGGTAGAACAGAACCAGCAGGTTCCAGACCTTGTAAGGTTTGAATAACCCTGCTGTAGATCGTGTAGTTTCATATACATTTCGTTTTGATGGATTTTCTGTTTTTAATAAAGTGTGTATTTTAATGTGTCTTCATACTTGATTTATTAGCTCTTTTACAAATGTTGGTCAATTGACTCTTATTTTTCCTCTAGAACAAGAGGTTCAGCATTTAAGCCAGGTAGAAGTTTTGGTAAGGTGTCTCAATGGAAAATTGATGTGGTGAGTCAGATTTTGATATAATGAAGACGCCTATGTCGCCACCCTAGCAATGGGATTTGTTGTCCAGAGTGGAATGGCGGGCTGTCAAGCTCCCACCTATTCCTCTCTTTGGATTGGTGGATACATCTCGTTGTTTTAATACTTTGACTATTCGATGAGGGGTGTTAGCTGCCTGTATTCAGTGGAGAGATACTATGCTACTAGCCACATCATGAATATGCATAGCCATGTCGACAACTCCGATAGTCTTTTCAAAGTTGCCGGGATGTTGTGTCCTATATCAGTACACGTATGCTAAGCATTACGGAACTTCTATTTGATCAAACAAATGTTAATTTTTTACACTAATTCGACACTCATTGACCTCCATACAAAAACTCCTTGCTTGCTGGAGACGACAGATTTTTGGCCCAATTATCCCTCTCACTTCTCTTCCTCTGGCAATCAAACCAATGGAGGGGAGGGGAACAATTTGCGTGGTATGTTGTCTCTTTGGGTTAGCCTGCCTGGCTAATATACTCAAACCAAATACATAAAGACATGTAAAGTGTTTTTCATAAGCTGAAATAAAAGATCCCAGAAATGTTCCATAAGCACAAAGCTTTCTCAAATTTGTTTCCATCCCTGTTAATGAGCATTTCTCCATTGCCAAGATAATTACATTCACATTAGAATCATTTAGCAGACACTCATATCCAGAGCAACTTACAGTAGTGAGTGTATACATTTTCATACTTTTTTTTTTTTCTCCTTCTTGGTCCCCCGTGGGAATCGAACCCACAACCCTGGCATTGCAAGCACCATGCTCTACCAACTGCGCAACACAGGACCACAATCCCTCCACCTGACACATGGGGTATCAAGACGCTGATTAAACAACATGATCATTACACAGGTGCACCTTGTACTGGGGACAAAAGGCCTCTAAAATGTGTAGTTTTGTCACACAACACAATGCCACAGATGTCTCAAGTTTTGAGGGAGCATGCAGTTGGCATGCTGCCTGCATGAATGTCCACCAAAGCTGTTGCCAGAGAATTGAATGTTCATTTCTCTACCATAATCAACCATCGTTTTAGAGAATTTGGCAATAAGTCCAACCAGCCTCACAACCGCAGACCATGTTTATGGCGTCGTGTGGGCGAGCGGTTTGCTGATGTGAACAGAGTGCCCCATAGTGGCGGTGGAGTTATGGTATGGGCAGACACGCTACAGACAACGAATGCAATTGCACTTTATCGATGGCAATTTGAATACACAGATATAACATGACGAGATCCTGAGGCCCATTTCTTTTAAGGTATCTGTGACCAACAGATGCATATCTGTATTCCCAGTCGTGAAATCCATAGATTAGGGCCTAATGCATTTATTTCAATTGACTGATTTCCTCAGATGAACTGTAACTCACTAAAATCTTTGAAATTGTTGCATGTTGCATATATTTTTGTTCAGTATATGTACAAATTGTCACCCCTAAACATAATTGTATGGCTAGTATTGGTCTTGAGTGACAGTGAGTTGTAAACATGGCACTTTACTGAAACTCAGCCATGTCCATTTAAACACCTCTGACTTGATCCCAGCTGAGCTCAGGCAGCGTATTACATTTACATTTACGTCATTTAGCAGACGCTCTTATCCAGAGCGACTTACAAATTGGTGCATTCACCTTATAGCCAGTGGGATAACCACTTTACAATATGTTTTTTTAATTTTTTTTGGTTGGGTGGGGTAAAGGGGGTGTAGAAGGATTACTTTATCCTATCCCAGGTATTCCTTAAAGAGGTGGGGTTTCAAGTGTCTCCGGAAGGTGGTGAGTGACTCCGCTGTTCTGGCGTCGTGAGGGAGCTTGTTCCACCATTGGGGTGCCAGAGCAGCGAACCACTGAGAATGTTTACAGTTTACACACATTGTATACTTTAGATAACCTGTTTGAACACTGTACAAACTAATATTCTGGGTGTGTATTTGGATATGTTGCCAAATAGAACTGTTAATCCATGTTATGTGGAAATTGCTTCTATCTCTCTCTATAGTTGCCTTATTTTTCTTTCTGATCCTACTACCCACAAGTCCTGAGTATGTCAGTCAATCCAGTAGAATAGCGAACTATGTTTTTTTCCCCCACAACCCACTGACTTTGTTTACATTTAGAGACAGTTTTGTTATTCTCCCCAGGTGAAGAGGCTCAGTAGGGTGTGGTCACCTCTGGTCTCTACACCATATGTGTCACACGTTCAGTACCTGTGATACTCTGTTAGAAATGCCACTGAATGACTGGTCTTTATAGACCTTACTGTCATGGGGTCATTGATACGTTTTGTGGGGGCTTTCTAAAGTATGTCTTTATTTGAGATAACTTGTCTCAGCTTACTCACATTGTTGGGTTTGATGTTTGGTTCTGGAGATTCTTCTTTTACTAGCAGTATGGCTACGAGTAAGTAACATTTTTGGATGTGTCAGTGTCATAAGTGTTAAACATCGATGAACCAATGAATTGGACACCTGTCTGTAAAACCATTATAATCATACATTTGGTACATGACATTGACAAAGGACTTTCTTTCTCACTGGAGTTTCTCTTACTCCTTTAAACAATAACTAAAATACTACACAAAAATATAAAAATAGCCTTATCAATTAATAAATGATTGCCATTTTCAATAGTCATTACAAATTGCTTTGCCTGTTTCCCATTCAAACTCTTCTTCCTTCTCTCTCACTGTTTTCCTCCTCTCCTAAGCAACACAAAGTGCCTCTCTAACTAGTTTAGACAGGTTTTGGTGTCATATATCCCCCTTCCCCCCACTCCTCTGTTCCTAGAATGAGGGTGTCAGTTCCCGAAAGGCCCTACTGAAAGCTCCACAGCATCAGCCACAGAACAGCCTATCAGGGGACAGGAGGGCAGGTAGGGGGAGGAACAACTGTCGATACTACTTGGAGATACTGTATATTCTGTAATATATATTTTTAAAATCAGTCTGTTTTAATAGGATAATTACACTGTTTGCGCTGAACAATCCCATCTGGACAAGAGGAATACCTATGTGAGAATGCTGTTCATTGACTATGGCTCAGCATTCAACACCATAGTACCCTCCAAGCTCATCATTAAGCTTGAGGCCTTGGGTCTGAACCCCGCCCTGTGCAACTGGGTCCTGGACTTCCTGACGGGCCGCCCCCAGGTAGTGAAGGTACAGTGGGGAAAAAAAGTATTTAGTCAGCCACCAATTGTGCAAGTTCTCCCACTTAAAAAGATGAGAGAGGCCTGTAATTTTCATCATAGGTACACGTCAACTATGACAGACAAATTGAGAATTGTTTTTCCAGAAAATCACATTGTAGGATTTTTAATGAATTTATTTGCAAATTATGGTGGAAAATAAGTATTTGGTCACCTACAAACAAGCAAGATTTCTGGCTCTCACAGAACTGTAACTTCTTCTTTAAGAGGCTCCTCTGTCCTCCACTCGTTACCTGTATTAATGGCACCTGTTTGAACTTGTTATCAGTATAAAAGACACCTGTCCACAACCTCAAACAGTCACACTCCAAACTCCACTATGGCCAAGACCAAAGAGCTGTCAAAGGACACCAGAAACAAAATTGTAGACCTGCACCCGGCTGGGAAGACTGAATCTGCAATAGGTAAGCAGCTTGGTTTGTAGAAATCAACTGTGGGAGCAATTATTAGGAAATGGAAGACATACAAGACCACTGATAATCTCCCTCGATCTGGGGCTCCACGCAAGATCTCACCCTGTGGGGTCAAAATGATCACAAGAACGGTGAGCAAAAATCCCAGAACTACACGGGGGGACCTAGTGAATGACCTGCAGAGAGCTGGGACCAAAGTAACAAAGCCTACCATCAGTAACACACTACGCCGCCAGGGACTCAAATCCTGCAGTGCAAGACGTGTCCCCCTGCTTAAGCCAGTACATGTCCAGGCCCGTCTGAAGTTTGCTAGAGTGCATTTGGATGATCCAGAAGAGGATTGGGAGAATGTCATATGGTCAGATGAAACCAAAATATAACTTTTTGGTAAAAACTCAACTCGTCGTGTTTGGAGGACAAAGAATGCTGAGTTGCATCCAAAGAACACCATACCTACTGTGAAGCATGGGGGTGGAAACATCATGCTTTGGGGCTGTTTTTCTGCAAAGGGACCAGGACGACTGATCCGTGTAAAGGAAAGAATGAATGGGGCCATGTATCGTGAGATTTTGAGTGAAAACCTCCTTCCATCAGCAAGGGCATTGAAGATGAAACGTGGCTGGGTCTTTCAGCATGACAATGATCCCAAACACACCGCCCGGGCAACGAAGGAGTGGCTTCGTAAGAATCATTTCAAGGTCCTGGAGTGGCCTAGCCAGTCTCCAGATCTCAACCCCATAGAAAATCTTTGGAGGGAGTTGAAAGTCCGTGTTGTCCAGCGACAGCCCCAAAACATCACTGCTCTAGAGGAGATCTGCATGGAGGAATGGGCCAAAATACCAGCAACAGTGTGTGAAAACCTTGTGAAGACTTACAGAAAACGTGTGACCTGTGTCATTGCCAACAAAGGGTATATAACAAAGTATTGAGAAACTTTTGTTATTGACCAAATACTTATTTTCCACCATAATTTGCAAATAAATTCATTAAAAATCCTACAATGTGATTTTCTGGATTTTTTTCCCCTCATTCTGTCTGTCATAGTTGACGTGTACCTATGATGAAAATTACAGGCCTCTCTCATCTTTTTAAGTGGGAGAACTTGCACAATTGGTGGCTGACTAAATACTTTTTTTCCCCACTGTAGGAAACAACACCTCCACTTCGCTGATCCTAAACACTGGGGTGCGTGCTCAGCCCACTCCTGTACTCCCTGTTCACCCATGACTGCGTGGCCAAGCACGCCTCCAACTCAATCATCAAGTTTACAGATGACACAACAGTAGTAGGCTTGATTACCAACAATGACGAGACCGCCTACAGGGAGGAGGTGAGGGCTCTGGGAGTGTGGTGCCAGGAAAATAACCTCTCACTCAATGTCAACAAAACAAAGGAGATGATCGTGGACTTCAGGAAACAGCAGAGGGTGCACCCCCCTATCCACATCGATGGGACCACAGTGGAGAAGGTGGAAAGCTTCAAGTTCCTTGGCGTATACATCACTGACAAACTGAAATGGACCACCCACACAGACATTGTGGTGAAGAAGGCGCAACAGAGCCTCTTCAACCTCAGGAGGCTAAATAAATTTGGCTTGGCACCTACAACCCTCACAAACTTTTACAGAGGCACAATTGAGAGCATCCTGTCGGGCTGTATCACCGCCTGGTACGGCAACTGCACCGCCCGCAACCGCAAGGCTCTCCAGAGGGTGGTGCGGTCTGCCCAACGCATTACCGGGGGCAAACTACCCGCCCTCCAGGACACCTACAGCACCCGATGTCACAGGAAGGTCAAAAAGATAATCAAGGACCTCAACCACCCGAGCCACTGCCTGTTCACCCCGCTATCATCCAGAAGGCGAGGTCAGTACAGGTGCATCAAAGCTGGGACTGAGAGACTGAAAAACAGCTTCTATCTCAAGGCCATCAGACTGTTAAACAGCCATCACTAGCACATTAGCGGCTGCTGCCTATAGACATAGACTAGAAATCACTGGACACTTTAAGAAATGGAACATTAGCCACTATAATAATGTTTACATATCTTGCATTACTCATCTCATATGTGTACTGTAGTCTATACTATTGTACTGTATCTTAGTCCATGCCTTAGTCCATGCCGCTCTGACATCACTCGTCCATATATGTATATATTCTTAATTCATTCCTTACTTAGATTTGTGTGTATTGGGTATATGTTGTGAAATTCTTAGATATTCTTAGATATTACGTGTTAGTTATACTCCTGAGTGGCGCAGTGGTCTAAGGCACTGCATCGCAGTGCTAACTGTGCCACTAGAGATCCTGGTTCGAATCCAGGCTGTCGCAGCCGGCCGCGACCGGGAGACTCATGGGCGGCGCACAATTGGCCCAGCGTCGTCCAGGGTAGGGGAGGGAATGGCCGGCAGGGATTTAGCTCAGTTGATAGTGGGTTCGATTCCCAAGGGGGGCCAGTATAAAAAAATATGTATTCACTAACTGTAAGTCGCTCTGGATAAGAGCGTCTGCTAAATGACTTAAATGTAAAATGTAGATATTACTGCACTGTCGGAGATAGAAGAACAAGCATTTCGCTACACCCGCAATAACATCTGCTAAACACGTGTATGTGACCAATACAATTTGATTTGATTTGAACACTGCTTTAAATGGCTGCAGGCAGTCGGTTAACCCTGGACCGTCTCTGTGGGGATTCCAAATGCCTGTCTGAACCACAACTCCAAGGGTGTCAGTTTGCCAATGGCGTTTATTTAAATATTTGTACAATAATGACAATTGAAAGATGCATTCTACATTTATATAAATGTATGGCATATCAAAATAAATACCTAAAACATACAGTATAAGCTAGTATTTGGGAATGACATACAGCATGAACAGGACAACGCGCATAAGAAACAAGTAACATACAGTTCAAAATGGGAAAAGAAAATGGTTGTTTCTTATTGGACAGGTTAAGATCGTACCTCCCTGTTTCACTCCATTTCGTACCTACTTAACACAACCCTGATTCCATGTACTCTGCTGATCCCCTGGCCTGATATACAGTAAATGTATGTAGCTGTACTTTCAGCTTGTAGAAGGGCGATCACAGGAGAGTAGGTGCCTTGCTAGGTCTGCCCGCTGCTGGTGGTGATTTACTCCGTAGCTCTTTGCTCTTGAGATTGACAGGCTGAGCCACCAGTAAGGCAGGGGCAGAGAGGTGGTGGGTGGCGGCTTTCTGTTGATGGGCACTGTTGATGTAGCTGGAGATGAGAAGGGTAATCTCCCTGATCTGCAAAACAAAACAGGACCTCTTCACCTCTTTACATAAAGTGCAAATCTACCTACACATAGTTAACCTGAGCCTCTGAAATCGGAAATGGCTGTTGAGAGAGAGAGTAGGAGAGTGAAAGCGCACAAGGGAGTGAGTGAGTGAGAAAGTGAGAGATAGGGAGAGTGTGCTTGTCTATGTCTTGTGTGTCCCACACACTAACCTTGGAGGTGGCCATAGTGAACAGGTGTTTCTCTGTGGGCTTGTCTTTGGTAGCATTACTGCCAATGCTCTGGCCTACCACCAGCATAAAGTCCTGCCTGCAGCCTCCAAACGTCACCAGGCTCTTATAAGGGTGGGACACCAGCAGTTTCTACACAGTAAAGGGGAACATGGAGAGTGATGGGTGTAGTGAGTAGAGAGCAGGAAACCACAGGAAACCATGCATAAACCCAAAGATGAATATATACTTTGCTGGAAAAGATAGAAATAGAAATGCTTACAATGGAGTTGTGCTCCAGCACGCTGATGCCATCCTCGTGCACTGCCAGCCACAGGCGGGCACCCTGCTCTGGAGAGGGCGTGATGGACTGAATGATCACAGGGACAGAGAGACAAATCAGGGGAGAGCACAGAGAAAGAGTGACAGGTGGTTAACATCTTCATTCAATGCAAGGAATACATATCTATGACATTGGAAGATAAAACACACTGCTGACTAATCATGGCTTCATAAAGGCTAACTTGTACCTTGTAAGGCTAAGTGTGTACCTGAAGTATATTGTCTAACTGGGTTATGTATGGATTTCATTTTCTGCCAGCACACACACACACACACAACACACAGACATTTCTGTCGTGTTCTTTGTATCTATAAGAGGCAATATTAACGTGCGCACCACCACATTGTGTGTCTGTGTGGTGCAGGGAATAGAAAAACCCAATGCTCAGTGTGGTCAATGATGATGTAGTACGAAATGTCAACAAATAGGTAAATGTTCAATAGGTAACTGTGTATGCGGAAGTATTTTTGGTCTTTGTCCAGTAAATAAACACACGCACCTCCGCTTCAAACAGCTTGGCCCCGAAGAAGGGCCACTTCCTGGCCACAGTCAGGTAGATGCGTACACACTCGGATGAACTTCGACCCCTGAGTGATGCCCATCGGGTGGACAGACGCTGGCGCAGTTGCCTGGGGGGTAGGGAGAGGGTAGTTTATCAATGACAGAGTGTGTGTGAGGGGGATTAATAAATAACTGAAAGTATGGGAGTCAGACCAAGAGAGAATATAATTTCCCCTCGAGAGGTGTGTGAAACTTGGGTAAAGAAGGAAATAATAGCAGACCTAGGTCCAAATACTATTTGAAATCTTTCAAATACTTTTAGCGTTTGCTTTAGCCTGCCCTGAGTGCCAGATGGGTGGGTTTTGCACTTTTACAACTATTCTATTGATTCCATTGCGTCAATCAAGTCCAGCCAAAAGTTTTTGAACCCAGGTCTGTATAATATAACACATTCTAGCAGCTTACCTGAGTTGTTCCTCAGTGGATGTCCTGCGGTAGTGTTTTGGGTAGAACCTCTCCAGTACCTGTTTCAGGGTCTGGTTAGACTTGGTCTGGGCTGAGTTGGGGCTGGCTGGGGTGGAGAACGGACGCTCAAAATCTCCAAACTCCACCTGAGACCAGAAACAATTACATTAACATTTACAAAGGAGACTATAGTCTTTACACTGCGATACCATCTAATATCCACTACTGACAGGTAAACTCTTTTGGTTCCCATTAAACCTTCCTATATTTAACAACTCTGAATACACTGTTGACTTTCAAAACAAGGTGAGACAATGACAAGTTGGCAAACTGCTCACACCCAGGCTTGGGGTACTGCAATGGCATTCAATACAATTGCAAATTCCCCATTCAACACATAGACAAAGGCAGAATAAACTGTTTTAGAGATGATATGTCATTTACAATGGGCAGACAGTGAGGAGAGAGAAAATACACCAATGATGTGTAAAATTTATAGGATTATATACAGTAGGTACAGTGCCTTGCAAAAGTATTCATCCACCTTTGCGTTTTTCCTACTTTGTTGCATTACAACCTGTAATTTAAATGGATTTTGGGGGGGATTTCATGTAATGGACATATACAAAATAGTCCAAATTGGTGAAGTGAAATGAAAAAAATACTTGTTTCAAAAAATTTAACAAAATTAAATAACGGAAAAGTGGTGCGTGCATACGTATTCACCCCCTTTGCTATGAAGCCCCTTATAAGATCTGGTGCAACCAATTACCTTCAGAAGTCACATAATTAGTTAAATAAAGTCCACCTGTGTGCAATCTAAGTGTCACATGATCTGTCACATGATCTCAGTATATACACCTGTTCTGAAAGGCCCCAGAGTCTGCAACACCACTAAGCAAGGGGCACCACCAAGCAAGCAGCACCATGAAGACCAAGGAGCTCTCCAAACAGGTCAGGGACAAAGTTGTGGAGAAGTACAGATCAGGGTTGGGTTATAAAAAACTTTGAACATCCCACGGAGCACCATTAAATCCATTATTAAAAAATTGGAAAGAATATGGCTCCACAACAAACCTGCCAAGAGAGGGCCGCCCACCAGAACTCACGGACCAGGCAAGGAGGGCATTAATCAGAGAGGCAACAAAGATACCAGATAACCCTGAAGGAGCTGCAAAGCTCCACAGTGGAGATTGGAGTATCTGTCCATATGACCACTTTAAGCCATACACTCCACAGAGCTGGGCTTTATGGAAGAGTGGCCAGAAAAAAGCCATTGCTTAAAGAAATAAATAAGCAAACACGTTTGGTGTTCGTCAAAATGCATGTGGGAGACTCCCCAAACATATGGAAGAAGGTACTCTGGTCAGATGAGACTAAAATTGAGCGCTATGTCTGGCGCAAACCCAACACCTCTCATCATCCCGAGAACACCATCCCCACAGCGAAGCATAGTGGTGACAGCATCATGCTGTGGGGATGTTTTTCATCGGCAGGGACTGGGAAACTGGTCAGAATTGAAGGAATGGTGGATGGCGGTAAATACAGGGAAATTCTTGAGGGAAACCTGTTTCAGTCTTCCAGAGATTTGAGATTGGGACGGAGGTTCACCCTAAGCCTACTGCTAAAGCAACACTTGAGTGGCTTAAGGGGAAACATTTAAATGTCTTGGAATGGCCTAGTCAAAGCCCAGACCTCAATCCAATTGAGAATCTGTGGTATGACTTAAAGATTGCTGTACACCAGCAGAACCCATCCAACTTGAAGGAGCTGGAGCAGTTTTTTCTTGAAGAATGGGCAACAATCCCAGTGGCTAGATGTGCCAAGCTTATCGAGACATACCCCAAGAGACTTGCAGCTGTAATTACTGCAAAAGTTGGCTCTACAAAGTATTGACTTTGGTGGGAGTGAATAGTTATGCACGCTGAAGTTTTCTGTTTGTTTGTCTTATTTCTTGTTTGTTTCACAATAAAAAATATTTTGCATCTTCAAAGTGGTAGGAATGTTGTGTAAATCAAATGATACAAACCTCAAAAAAATCAATTTTAATTCCAGGTTGTAAGGCAACAAAATAGGAAAAATGCCAAGGGGGGTGAATACCTTCGCAAGCCACTGTATATGGACGTCACAGACCTGGGCTAGCAGGGCAGACATCTCAAGAGCCAGCTCCTTGTTGACAGGGAAGTGTCCTGCTATGATGGCCTCGTTCGTCTGATAGGCCAGGAGCAGCCTCTCTCTCTCTGACTCACCTCGCACCTGAGGAGAGAAGTACAGCCTGCACACAGACAGACAGAGACACACACGCACGCACACACACACCCAGACACAGACCCAAACACAGACAGAGTGTTACAAAGGGTTAACTAGTGGTGAATGAGATCTCTACATACACACAGTAAGTGAAAGTAAAAAGTGTAAAATCTACCTATTCTTGTAGGTGAGCCGGAAAGTTCTGGTGTTCTCAGACTTGCCCGTGTGCTGCTCCTTGGAGGCCTGCTCCCATTTGGAGATGATGTCACAGATCTGTGAGAAAGGAAGACATGCATCTTTTGTGACAAAGACTTCAGATTTGACAAAGGCTTTGTTGAAAAAAATAATAAAGAACCCTTAAAAGGCAATTCCTCACAATTTCTCCAGCACAATACCAGTGTCTACATACAGTGGGGGAAAAAAATATTTAGTCAGCCACCAATTGTGCAAGTTCTCCCACTTAAAAAGATGAGAGAGGCCTGTAATTTTCATCATAGGTACACGTCAACTATGACAGACAAATTGAGAAAAGAAAATCCAGAAAATCACATTGTAGGATTTTTAATGAATTTATTTGCAAATTATGGTGGAAAATAAGTATTTGGTCAATAACAAAAGTTTCTCAATACTTTGTTATATACCCTTTGTTGGCAATGACACAGGTCAAACGTTTTCTGTAAGTCTTCACAAGGTTTTCACAAACTGTTGCTGGTATTTTGGCCCATTCCTCCATGCAGATCTCCTCTAGAGCAGTGATGTTTTGGGGCTGTCGCTGGGCAACGCAGACTTTCAACTCCCTCCAAAGATTTTCTATGGGGTTGAGATCTGGAGACTGGCTAGGCCACTCCAGGATCTTGAAATGCTTCTTACGAAGCCACTCCTTCGTTGCCCGGGCGGTGTGTTTGGGATCATTGTCATGCTGAAAGACCCAGCCACGTTTCATCTTCAATGCCCTTGCTGATGGAAGGAGGTTTTCACTCAAAATCTCACGATACATGGCCCCATTCATTCTTTCCTTTACAAGGATCAGTCGTCCTGGTCCCTTTGCAGAAAAACAGCCCCAAAGCATGATGTTTCCACCCCCATGCTTCACAGTAGGTATGGTGTTCTTTGGATGCAACTCAGCATTCTTTGTCCTCCAAACACGACGAGTTGAGTTTTTACCAAAAAGTTATATTTTGGTTTCATCTGACCATATGACATTCTCCCAATCCTCTTCTGGATCATCCAAATGCACTCTAGCAAACTTCAGACGGGCCTGGACATGTACTGGCTTAAGCAGGGGGACACGTCTGGCACTGCAGGATTTGAGTCCCTGGCGGCGTAGTGTGTTACTGATGGTAGGCTTTGTTACTTTGGTCCCAGCTCTCTGCAGGTCATTCACTAGGTCCCCCCGTGTGGTTCTGGGATTTTTGCTCACCGTTCTTGTGATCATTTTGACCCCACGGGGTGAGATCTTGCGTGGAGCTCCAGATCGAGGGAGATTATCAGTGGTCTTGTATGTCTTCCATTTCCTAATAATTGCTCCCACAGTTGATTTCTTCAAACCAAGCTGCTTACCTATTGCAGATTCAGTCTTCCCAGCCTGGTGCAGGTCTACAATTTTGTTTCTGGTGTCCTTTGACAGCTCTTTGGTCTTGGCCATAGTGGAGTTTGGAGTGTGACTGTTTGAGGTTGTGGACAGGTGTCTTTTATACTGATAATAAGTTCAAACAGGTGCCATTAATACAGGTAACGAGTGGAGGACAGAGGAGCCTCTTAAAGAATAAGTTACAGGTCTGTGAGAGCCAGAAATCTTGCTTGTTTGTTGGTGACCAAATACTTATTTTCCACCATAATTTGCAAATAAATTCATTAAAAATCCTACAATGTGATTTTCTGGATTTTCTTTTCTCAATTTGTCTGTCATAGTTGACGTGTACCTATGATGAAAATTACAGGCCTCTCTCATCTTTTTAAGTGGGAGAACTTGCACAATTGGTGGCTGACTAAATACTTTTTTCCCCCACTGTATGTGAAAACTGCACATTTTTACGATTTGTACAAACAAATATTAAGTTAATAAGTTCTACCCGATGAGCAAGAAAATACCCTTCCTCTGGCTAGAAATTCGTTGCAGGTTTTGAAAATCACAGAGAAGCATTTTATAGGACCTTTAATCTGATCTTTTTAACCACAGATCATATAAACGTGCCATTTTTACATATGTAGACACTTGTATAGTGCTAGAGATAATGAATATGAGGTTGAAATGCCCTTTAAGTGCTTTTCCAATAAAGACAGCAGATATTGTCCACATTTTTTGAGTGGGGAAAAATACTTTCCAGTATTTGTGTGTTGATTCTGTGAATGTGGCCATGTCTGTATGATGTCAGCTATTCAGTCTAACCTTGATGCCCCCCTGTAGACAGTGCTCCAGCTCTCGTCCAGTAGGGTCGTCCGTGTAGAGGCTGAAGCCTGATTGACCAGTTTTCCTCATCCCTGTGTCCTGGTTCAGTCTGCACTGAAACTCCTCCACTGTGGTAGAGGCATCAAAGCCCACTACCTGGATGGGGCAAAATACACCGTCAATGTGTGTGTGTGTGTGTGTGTGTGTGTGTGTGTGTGCATGCACCTTTGTGGTTGCAAAGGGAGGGTATATTACTGGAAACTTTTGTTTTATTATCAGATGACATCTAGTGGCCTTTTTGGGTAATTCAGATTATCACAGGTGTCTGTAATTATCTCTGGCCCACAGCATGTAGAATATATAAAATAATCAAATAAGATGATTTAGTGAATACCATTGGTGTTTAATATGAGGGTTTAGGCATGAAATATATATATATATTTTACTATGTCAATATTTCTTTGTTGTAAATGTTTTGGCACCAAACTGGTGGCAGTTATGAAAAAAGTAAATAGTTGAAAGAGTTGCAGAGTTAAAAAGTAAAAAAGTTATTTAAGTATAAATTACCAAAGTTACCATAGATTGCCATATATTACCTGTTAATTACCAAAATTACAGAAGATTCTGTTCACTTTGGTAAATTACCTGTAGCTTTGCAACCCTAGCATGCACACGTGTGTGCGTCTCTCTCCCTGTGCACACTAACTGGTAGAGAGAGTATGTGTTGTACCTGGTATGTGTTGTTGAGGAAGTGAACAGGTACACTGAAGGGCAGTGAGTGGTGGTATGGGTTCCTGAGAAGGATAGACAGGATCTCCATACGGGACGCCCGGGCCTGACGCTCACCCTTTAGCTGGGTCCTCTCTACCGACCTCTGACAGTAGATGGCGTATTTACCCACCTCTGTTCTGAGAGAGACACACAGGGGAAAGTACAGTCAAATTGCAGGTAAATACAAGGTTGGGTTAGCAAATGAGCGACTAGGAAGTCAGACTAGGGACAATTTGCATGCGTGCGTATGTGAGTGTGTGTGTGCTCACCTTGAGTCTCCATGCCTCTTCAGGTGTACCTGCAGCAGCCAAAGGAAGGGGTGCTGGGGCAGAAAGAGACCCACACACAGAGCCAGGAACTGCCATCCCTGTAGAAGACCATACATTTACATTTTAGTTATTTAGCATACAAACATAAACTCTCATTTGTTAACTCCGTATACACTGAGTATACCAAACATTAGGAACACCTTCCTAATATTGAGTTGTAAACCCAGCCACGTTGCAGTTGACACAAACCGGTGTGCCTGGCACTTACTACCATACTCCGTTCAAAGGCACATAAATCTTGTGTCTTGCCCATTCACCCTCTGAATGGCACACATACACAATCCATGTCTCAATTGTCTCGAGGCCTAAAAATCCTTCTTTAACCTGTCTCCTACCCTTCATCTACACTGATTGAAGTGGATTTAATAAGTGCCATCAATAAGGGATCATAGCCTTCACCTAGATTCACCTGGTCAGTCTATGTCATGGAAAGAGCAGGTGTTCTTAATGTTTTGTATACTCAGTGGATAAGGGCAAACTCTGTTTAAATCCATTGCAATTCACTAGTTCAAATTCAAATACATACTCTGCATGCTCCAGTTTAGTGCACCCATAATGGATTCACAACAATCTATTCATGACCGCCACAATCCATTGAATTTGTCAGGTGTGGACTGTATGTAATTTTACATGTACTCCTGCTGCCCCTCTGTGGTGAAAGAGTATGTATGTGTACCTGCAAGGGCCAGGGCTGCCCTTGGGGCTGTCTCTTGCGTGTCTGTTTGATGAGCTGACAAAATAACTCGTTTTGTAGCTCTGGGTGGGTCAGGCACACCTGCAACGCACTCTGGGCCAGGGACACGTGGTAGTCAATGGCTGGAGCATCGATTGCCACGTTGATGAAGAGCTGGCATGTCTGGAAGAGAGGGAGAGAAGGGGACAGAAAGAGAGAGAGATATAAAGAGAAAGGAGGAGAGTCATTGGAAAAACTGACATAGCTCTTTGAATATTATTTATTGTCAAAAGATTGCAAGGCCCATGAACTAACTCTCTTTGCGTGCACATGTCTGTGATGTCATGCGCGTGAGTGTTTGTGCGCATGTGTGTGTGTATCCTACCTTAAAGAGCTTGATGGCCTCAGTCTGCAGGGCCTGAGAGGGCAGGGTGGTGAGTGGAGATGACAGACCCTCTTTACTGAAACACAGCATGGGGTTTCTCCATATCTGAGAGTCTGAACGAAAGAGCGAGAGAAAAAGAGCGAGTTTGGAAAATGCAGTGAAAACTATTGACATACTGAAGAGAAGTCTTGCACACCCGACTTATAGTCACTTTCAATAGCAGAAGAGTCTAACTGATGAGATACTGAAACAGACAAAAGCCAGAAGAGCAGTAGGACACTCACTTGGTTCTCCCTCCACATTGAGCAGTTGGCCCACCAACTGCTCAAACTCTGTGCCAACCTTGCCCACCGTGTTGCCCGCTGCCACCGACAGGTGATACAGCCAAGCCTCCTAAAGAAACCAGAAGACAGGGCAGAACCACTATAGCTACAGTGCCTATCAAGTATTCATCCCCGTTGGATCTTTTCACACTGAAATTGACTTAATTGTGATTTTCTGTCACTGATCTACACAAAATACTTAATAATGTCAAAGTGAAAAGAAAATTATATAAATGTTTACACATTTATACAAAATAAATAACTAAAATCTATTAACCCACTTTGTTATAGCAAGCCTAAATAAGTTGAGGAGTAAAAATGTGCTTAACAAATCACATAATAAGTTGCATGGACTCATTCTGTGTGCAATAATAGGGTTTAACATGCTTTTTGAATGACTACCACATCTCTGTACCCCACACATACAATTATCTATAAGGTCCCTCAGTCGATTAATGAATTTCAAGCACAGATTCAACCACAAAGACCAGGGAGCTTTTCTAATGCCTCGCAAAGAAGGGCACTGATTGGTAGATGGGCAAAGAAAAAGCAGACACTGAATATCCCTTTGAGCATGGTAAAGTTATTAGGCTTTGGATGGTGTATCAATACACTCAGTCACTACAAAGATACAGGTGTCCTTCCAAACTGAGTTGCCAGAGAGAAAGAAACCACTCAGGGTTTTCACAATGAGGCCAATGGTGATTTAAAAACATTTACAGAGTTTAATGGCTGTGATGGGAGAAAACTGGATCGATCAACAACATTGTAGTTACTCCACAATACAAACCTAAATGACATAGTGAAAAGACGGAAGCCTATACAGAATTAAAATATTCCAAAACATGCATTCTGTTTACAAAAAGGCACTATAGTAATACAGCAAAAAAACATGCAAAGCATTACGTTTATGGCAAATCCAACACAGCACCACTGAGTACCACTCTCCATATTTTCAAGCATAGTGGCTGCATCATGTTATGGGTATGCTTGTCATCAGCAAGGTCTGGAGACAATAATCTAAAACACAAGGTCAAATCTACACTGGAATTGCTTACCAAGAAGAAAGTGAATGTTCTTGAGTGGTCTAGTTTCAGTTTTGACTTAAATCTGCTTGAAATCTATGGCAAGATTTAAGATGGCTGTCTAGCAATAATCAACAACCAATTTGACAGAGCTTGAAGAATTTGAAAAGAATAATGCGCAAATATTGCACAATCCAGGTGTGCAAAGCTTTTAGAGACTTAGATACCCCAAAGTACTCACAGCTGTAATTGCTGCCGAAGGTGTTTCTAACATGTATTGACTTAGGAGGTGAATACTTATTTAAATGTGTGTTTAATTTGTCATAAAAGTATTTATTTAAATGTTTATTCCACTTTGACATTAGTGTTTTGTGTAGATCTTTGACAATTCTTTACCCATTAAATACATTTGAATCCCACTTCGTAACACAATCAAATTTGAAGAAATCTTATGATAGGCACTGTACAGTATATTGGCTAATTACGGCAGTATTAGCAGTATCTACCAGTTGGGTGAAGCATGGTGCTTGCAACACCACAGTTGTGGGTTTGATTCTAGCAAGTGAAACACGTACTAAAATGTATTCACTGTAGGTCATTTTTGTGTCTGTGTGACCTTTTTATCATGGGATGTTCTCTACCATGTATCCACACTGATTCTGGCTCCTCTCATACCTTCTCATGTCGGGATTCAATGAGCAGGTAGGTGGGGCCCTGCTCCTGGGGATGGACAGCTATGGTGTGGGGCGTGGCCTGTAAGCCCCTCCCGCATGACTTCAGCTCCTCATCCGAGTCACGTGACCTGTCCACCTCCTCCACCCGAGCCTCCCACAGCTTGATCTGACCTAGGGGGAACTGTGGGGGCGCACACTGCGCGTTAGTATGGTGAATGGGAAGATAGATGAGTAGAGAGTATGAGTATAAGTGAATGAGTTGTGTACCTTGTCATCCTGACTGCGGAAGTAGTAGAGTGTTTTACCGATGAGGGCACACCACACCCGCTTGGAGTAGCCATGTTTCACCTGACAGAGATACAAAAAAGTTACCTTCACTTCAATGAGGCACTGGTCATTGGTAACCACCTTAGTCAACCAAATGTCAACACTCGACTCATAGAGTCATAGTTCTAGAGAGTTATAGTTCAAGTAGAAAGTTTAAGGGGCAATCTGCAGTTCAAACAATAACAAAGCAAATAGGGCTGGAGAAATGAGGGGTAGGGCTGAAGAAATGTAACCTCTCCAAAATGTATAGACAGAACTATGGATGCAAGGGCTGATCATCCATGATATCAAAATGCTAGTTTTAACAATGTTTTGAGGCTATACAGGGTTTGTTTACAATTACATTGTTTACAAACAAAGGAGTAAAGAAAGCTTATTTTTTGGGTTCTGATTGAGTTAGACAGTTGAACTAAGCTCACGAGGCATTTATAAGTCATATTCTTCCAGAATCAATGGCTATATATTATGAATTTAAAAGTAACAAAAAAATGGATGTAGCAATCACAGATTGCCCCTTTAAAGTTCATGGCTATCAGGGATATTTAGTGCTGTAAGACAGAACCTTGATGAGATGACCCTTCATCCCGGGTCGTATCTCAGGTTGAGCGAACAGCGGGCTGGCTGTTTTGACCCTCAGAACACTCTGTAGAACCCTCAGCCACTCCTCTAGCAGGTTGGGAGAGTCTGCCTTCAGATAGTATACTCTCTTCCCTGTAACAATCTGAGATAACACACACGCATGCGGGCACGTCAGCATGCACGCACACAAACAGGAAATGATAGTTAATGCTAAAAATGTGCAGGCAAATATCCACATGAACACACTCTCCTGCTCTCTCTCTCACACACACACACACACACACACACACACACACACACACACACACACACTAGTACCTGGAGCACTTGCTTCCCGTCGCCGCGGGCGATACTACTGGTGGTGTTGACCTCAATCTGACCCTGTGGTCTCCGGATGACATCACTCTGGGAAGACCAATCACATAGGCTCATTCAGTAAATGACATAAGTGAGAGTGTTACAGTTCACTGAACCAAATCATCAGACCTGTCATGAGAGCTACAGATGTAGGATCTTCATTTGATCACTCTTTTGTTGCTGCACAGCAGGAAATGCAAACTTGTAGTGTATTCAAGGTTTAAAAAGGCTTCTAAAGTTTTTAATTTCCACTTTAAAATGTCAGACTTGATTTGCCCTAATGAAAAATGTATCAACTCCGACAAAAATGTCCACATAATAATTCACATTTCCTGTTGCTGCAGGTTTATTCTCCTGCTGTAGCAAACTGGCTCAAATTAAGATCCTACATCTGTAGACATGAACGTGTACAAGGAGACATGGCAGAAAAACACTCACACTAAAACACAGATATACACAAACCCATAAATAACATAGATCATAACAGTGTCAGTCCACATTAATTTCAAGGCAAACTTTTGAGGCCAGTTGGTATACATGATTTGAGTGAGTGTGTGTGAGCGTGTGTGTAAGTGTGTGAGTTTTTCTAACTGACCGGTGACTTGTAATAGAGCAGCTCTCCATCTTTGAGGACAAACCAGCGTCTCTTCCAAGTCTTCTTCCACGTTTTCACCATCTTCAGGAGGTACCCTGACTTCTCCATGGGCTCCTACAAACACAGGAGTTGGCGAGTGGTGTGTATGTATAGTGGCAGGTGTAGGGTATATGTGTTGGCTGTGTCTCTTTATCAGCAAACTCTTGTCGAGAGAGTATGCGCAAAAACCAGATTGGGCAAGTTTGCTATTTTATTGCAACAGTTTTTGTGACAAAACCATCGGTAGAGTTGAAAATGCAATGGAAACCCATTTAATTTAGATGTTTTATTTGGTACATGGGAACTTAACTGCAAAATTGTTTTTTATGGGCACCATGTCATCATGCACAACCTTTTACAGTGGGGAAAAAAAAGTATTTAGTCAGCCACCAATTGTGCAAGTTCTCCCACTTAAAAAGATGAGAGAGGCCTGTAATTTTCATCATAGGTACACGTCAACTATGACAGACAAATTGAGAAAAAAAATTGCAGAAAATCACATTGTAGGATTTTTTATGAATTTATTTGCAAATTATGGTGGAAAATAAGTATTTGGTCACCTACAAACAAGCAAGATTTCTGGCTCTCACAGACCTGTAACCTCTTCTTTAAGAGGCTCCTCTGTCCTCCACTCGTTACCTGTATTAATGGCACCTGTTTGAACTTGTTATCAGTATAAAAGACACCTGTCCACAACCTCAAACAGTCACACTCCAAACTCCACTATGGCCAAGACCAAAGAGCTGTCAAAGGACACCAGAAACAAAATTGTAGACCTGCACCAGGCTGGGAAGACTGAATCTGCAATAGGTAAGCAGCTTGGTTTGAAGAAATCAACTGTGGGAGCAATTATTAGGAAATGGAAGACATACAAGACCACTGATAATCTCCCTCGATCTGGGGCTCCACGCAAGATCTCACCCCGTGGGGTCAAAATGATCACAAGAACGGTGAGCAAAAATCCCAGAACCACACGGGGGGGGACCTAGTGAATGACCTGCAGAGAGCTGGGACCAAAGTAACAAAGCCTACCATCAGTAACACACTACGCCGCCAGGGACTCAAATCCTGCAGTGCCAGACGTGTCCCCCTGCTTAAGCCAGTACATGTCCAGGCCCGTCTGAAGTTTGCTAGAGTGCATTTGGATGATCCAGAAGAGGATTGGGAGAATGTCATATGGTCAGATGAAACCAAAATAGAACTTTTTGGTAAAAACTCAACTCGTCGTGTTTGGAGGACAAAGAATGCTGAGTTGCATCCAAAGAACACCATACCTACTGTGAAGCATGGGGGTGGAAACATCATGCTTTGGGGCTGTTTTTCTGCAAAGGGACCAGGACGACTGATCCGGGTAAAGGAAAGAATGAATGGGGCCATATATCGTGAGATTTTGAGTGAAAACCTCCTTCCATCAACAAGGGCATTGAAGATGAAACGTGGCTGGGTCTTTCAGCATGACAATGATCCCAAACACACCGCCCGGGCAACGAAGGAGTGGCTTCGTAAGAAGCATTTCAAGGTCCTGGAGTGGCCTAGCCAGTCTCCAGATCTCAACCCCATAGAAAATCTTTGGAGGGAGTTGAAAGTCCGTGTTGCCCAGCGACAGCCCCAAAACAACACTGCTCTAGAGGAGATCTGCATGGAGGAATGGGCCAAAATACCAGCAACAGTGTGTGAAAACCTTGTGAAGACTTACAGAAAACGTTTGACCTGTGTCATTGCCAACAAAGGGTATATAACAAACTATTGAGAAACTTTTGTTATTGACCAAATACTTATTTTCCACCATTATTTGCAAATAAATTCATAAAAAATCCTACAATGTGATTTTCTGGATTTTTTCCCCTCATTTTGTCTGTCATAGTTGATGTGTACCTATGATGAAAATTACAGGCCTCTCTCATCTTTTTAAGTGGGAGAACTTGCACAATTGGTGGCTGACTAAATACTTTTTCCCCCCACTGTATACACAACAAGTCAGTTTGATGGAAACACCCCTCTGGTGGCATATTGTTTTATTCCGATTTTAGAATATTCCAATGAAAATCTGTCGGCAATTGGATGGAAACCTAGCTATAGAGAGAAACGTGGTTTGTGCTCAACAAAAAGACAATGTTCTTACATTCTTGCCGTTGTCGCGGGTGCTAGAGCAGGTCTTTGGGAGTTTCTGCTCTGGCTCAGAACACTCTGTGTCAGTAGAGTAGGCATCAGGAGGAATGGCATAGTCACTCTCTGATGTCATGGACGACATGGACACAGCTGGAGAAGAGGGAATACACAGACAGTCATGAGAACATGGTAATAATCACGTATGGATTTGGTTTTAATATGAGGCAGTGTGAGATGTGTACTCTTGTGTGAGCCTTCTTGTGGTGTGTTTGTGTGTGTGTGTGTGTGAGGTGTCTGACCATGTGTGTGCAATGACCATGTGTGTGTATGTGTATGTGTGCATGCGCATGCTTGCGTGTGCAAGTGTGTGTGTGTGCGCAAGTGTGTGAGTCTGTATTTATGAAGTGTCCGTGTGAGTGTGTGCAGTACCTCTCTTGAGGGAGCGGGGGCTGCCGGGGTTGCTGTTTTTGCGGGAGCCGGATCTAGAGGTGTGTGAGCTACATTTAGATCCTTCCTCTTCTTCTGAGCTGGACGACTCCTCTGAGCTGGACGACTCCTCTGAGCTGGACGACTCCTCTGAGAACGGACTACTGCTCAGCAGAGTGGCTTTCTACAGAAGGTAATACACACCATCAGCTTGACACACACACACACACACACACACACACTCTAGAGGGTCACATTAAAACAGGACTTCTGCGGGTGACATACACACACACACACACACACACCTACCCCCTTCAGTGTAGTGTAAACAGGCGTGGTCATGTTCTTATAGATGAGGGATGTGTAGAGCACAAAAGCAGGGTACGAGGACTGGAGGGAGGGGTCTGGAACAGAGATGACAGCTCAATCAGCCAATCACAGAGCCTTCTCCAAAACACAGGGCCAATGGCAGAACGGTACTGACCCAGTATTCTCTTCTTCTCTCTCTCACCTTTGCTTGCCTGGTCTGTACATGAGGTCTCTGACAGCCTGATGCCAGACTTAGCCACTGCATATATCCGGCTTTCCTAAAGGAACAGTCAACACAAGCAAAGCATAAAACACTCAAAGTATGTACAATAAAGGTAAATAGAACTTAATGCTCACCCAGGAGGGGAACCTGTGTAGAGGGGGTGTCGGTGGCTTGCTCCCTGGCACCGTGGCAGGGAGGTCTGGGCTCTCTGGGGGCTCGTCTTTGTCCGTGGCGAGTGAGGCTGGTGAGGTGCGCAAGGTTGGCTTGGTGGCTGGCTGAGGGGGCGTGTCTCTACCCGTCTCCATGCCGACCTCCTGTTCCTGATCCAGGTCGGTCTCTTGGGGCCTAAGGGGGCGGAGCATGCTGATGGCGTTGCGCGTCCGTCCATGAGCCGCCTCCGTGCTGATTGGCGGCTGGCTCAGGTGTCTCTTGGCCAGGGCCACGCTCATCACGCCAAACCCAGCGGGCGTCCGCAGGCGGGGCTGTTTGGGAGAGGCGGGGGGGTCTCTGGAGTCCTGGGTGGAGGTGGGGCGCTTGGGGGTGAGGATGGGGCTAGGGGTGTTGGAGGGGTCACTGGAGGAGGACGAGGAGTCTAGTCTCTGGGACTGGAAGCGTTTGTTGAGTTCGTCCGAGGAGCAATCCTCAAGTTTCCTCTCCCTGACCCCCTCCTTCTCCGTCAGCCCCCCCTCCCCGGACCCCGGCAGGTGGAAGTGGGGGCGCTTGGTACGCTCCATGTCATCATCGAACAGAGAGCTGCTGTCATCAGACGCCGTGAGGTAGGTCTCGCTGCCGGGACGGCTGTACTTCAGCGGACACCCCTCCCCTTCACACAAACCTCCACCCTCGCCCTCCAAAGCAGCAATGGAGAGCACAGAGGACACACAGCGAGACTCTGGCCCTCCTGTGCTCTCACACACACTCTCAGTCTCCTCCTCTGAGGTAGCGTCCGCTGGTCTGTGGCCTCCACTCTCTGCCCCGGAGGAGACTGATGTCTCTGTATTGGTGTTATCTGTCAAAGTAAACAAACACTTGTATGACTGTAAGTCGCTTTGGATAAAAGCGTCTGCTAAATGGCTTATTATTATCAATATCATGTACCAAATAACATACCAAATCAATGTTCTTCAATCCTTGTACTGGGGACTTACAGACTATGCTGTGCAGGCATTTGTTTCAGCCCAGTACTAACACGCCTGATTCAACTAATCAAAGGAATTATGATTAGTTAAGCTTAATAAGGTGTGTTAATGCTGGTCCAGATCAAGAACCTGCACACCCTGTGTAGTCCAGCGGATAAGAACCAAATACACTGAGTATACCGAACATTAGGAACACCTTCCAACTCTTGCAACATAGCCTGTTGAATAATATAATGTTATATGCATAAAACGCATCATCCAAATGCATCGTATGCCTACACACATTGACTTGAATAAATGTTTGTATTTTCAATACCTTCAAACACCAAATTAGGCCTACCTAAATCAAAATAGGCCATCATCACTATCAATCGTGAATTATAAATCTTCTCATTTTACAGGTCAAATGTCCAAGCTGCATCTAAATGCCATTTGATCTCACTCAGTTTCATGAGAATATGCATTTAGATCTTCTTGAGTGATGCGAGTAAATACTTTTTGAGCGGATTTCAGAGCATATGATATTAACAAGCAACAGACTATCCTACCTGTATTGTTTCCATCAGAGACCATTTTTCCTATGGTGCGCGCTAGTTTTGGCCGCATCATGAGAAAAAAAAACTTGGCCATTCAGCACAATCATCCTTAAAGCTCTTAAGAAATGAGGTGGTGTTTTTGGTCTTACAGTAACAAGTATGCTATTATAGTCAGGCTGTTATGCAGAATACTAATTAATAATTCATTAAGTGATCTTCCGAGACATTGATTCGTCACTCTGGTGCGCTCCAGGAGCACTACACCCCTAATTATACTCAGTTTTTCAAAATGATCACCAACCAGCACCATAGGGCCATATTGGACAAGATTCACATAAATAATTGGTACATACAGCCCAACGATGGCTTAAAATGTTTTAAGGGTTCTGGAGAATACAATAAAATGGCCCAAGAATGACATTTATATGTATCCTTTAAATATTTTGTAGAAAAGTGGTGAAAAGGTGCCAAAAGAAATCGACCAAAATGACTGATTCTTGAATATACTTTCATCCTCATTTTCAGTATTTTGGGTGTTCCCTAAAGTCTACTAAATACATTATACAGTGAGGGAAAAAAGTATTTGATCCCCTGCTGATTTTGTACGTTTGCCCACTGACAAAGAAATGATCAGTCTATAATTTTAATGGTAGGTTTATTTGAACAGTGAGAGACAGAATAACAACAAAATGTCAAAAATGTTATAAATTGATTTGCATTTTAATGAGGGAAATAAGTATTTGACCCCCTCTCAATCAGAAAGATTTCTGGCTCCCAGGTGTCTTTTATACAGGTAACGAGCTGAGATTAGAAGCACACTCTTAAAGGGAGTGCTACTAATCTCAGCTTGTTACCTGTATAAAAGACACCTGTCCACAGAAGCAATCAATCAATCAGATTCCAAACTCTCCACCATGGCCAAGACCAAAGAGCTCTCCAAGGATGTCAGGGACAAGATTGTAGACCTACACAAGGCTGGAATGGGCTACAAGACCATCGCCAAGCAGTTTGGTGAGAAGGTGACAACAGTTGGTGCGATTATTCGCAAATGGAAGAAACACAAAAGAACTGTCAATCTCCCTCGGCCTTGGGCTCCATGCAAGATCTCACCTCGTGGAGTTGCAATGATCATGAGAATGGTGAGGAATCAGCCCAGAACTACACGGGAGGATCTTGTCAATGATCTCAAGGCAGCTGGGACAATAGTGACCAAGAAAACAATTGGTAACACACTACGCCGTGAAGGACTGAAATTCTGCAGCGCCCGCAAGGTCCCCCTGCTCAAGAAAGTACATATACAGGGCCGTCTGAAGTTTGCCAATGAACATCTGAATGATTCAGAGGAGAACTGGGTGAAAGTGTTGTGGTCAGATGAGACCAAAATCGAGCTCTTTGGCATCAACTCAACTCGCCCTGTTTGGAGGAGGAGGAATGCTGACTATGACCCCAAGAACACCATCCCTACCGTCAAACATGGAGGTGGAAACATTATGCTTTTCTGCTAAGGGGACAGGACAACTTCACCTCATCAAAGGGACGATGGACGGCGCCATGTACCGTCAAATCTTGGGTGAGAACCTCCTTCCCTCAGCCAGGGCATTGAAAATGGGTCGTGGATGGGTATTTCAGCATGACAATGACCCAAAACACACGGCCAAGGCAACAAAGGAGTGGCTCAAGAAGAACCACATTAAGGTCCTGGAGTGGCCTAGCCAGTCTCCAGACCTTAATCCCATAGAAAATCTGTGGAGGGAGCTGAAGGTTCGAGTTGCCAAACGTCAGCCTCGAAACCTTAATGACTTGGAGAAGATCTGCAAAGAGGAGGGGAACAAAATCCCTCCTGAGATGTGTGCAAACCTGGTGGCCAACTACAAGAAACGTCTGACCTCTGTGATGGCCAACAAGGGTTTTGCCACCAAGTACTAAGTCATGTTTTGCAGAGGGGTCAAATACTTATTTCCCTCATTAAAATGCAAATCAATTCATAACATTTTTGACATGCGTTTTTTTCTGATTTTTGTTGTTGTTATTCTGTCTCTCACTGTTCAAATAAACCTACCATTAAAATTATAGACTGATCATGTCTTTGTCAGTGGGCAAACATACAAAATCAGCAGGGGATCAAATACTTTTTTCCCTCACTGTATATGATATTCTGTATTTTGTCAATTTCATGAAATGTAACAAGAAACCTTCCCTGTAGCCTACTTACTCCCCTATACTTAGAATGTTGAAAATTGAACCATGGACATGAAGCCATTCTAATAGAACTCTACCTTTTTGAAAGGGAAGTATGGAACAGGATACTAAGGCTACCATTACTTATTATACAAGCACTGTTTTGGTACATATTAGATATCATTCTAATCCACAGATATCACACAATATTTTTAAATCATTAGGAGCATGCTGAAATTTGACCCTCTCAATAGAGGGATCAAAATATCAACAACAAAAAATGTGAGTTGGACAGCATTTTGGGCACATTTTTGGTCGGAAGTTACATACACTTAGGTTGGAGTCATTAAAACTCGTTTTTCAACCACTCCACACATTTCTTGTTAACAAACTATAGTTTTGGCAAGTCGGTTAGGACATCTACTTTGTGCATGACACAAGTATTTTTTCCAACAATTGTTTACAGACAGATTATTTCACTTATAATTCACTGTATCACAATTCCAGTGGGTCAGAAGTTTACATACACTAAGTTGACTGTGCCTTTAAACAGCTTGGGAAAATCCAGAAAATGATGTCATGGCTTTAGAAGCTTCTGATAGGCTAATTGACATAATTTGAGTCAATTGGAGGTGTACCTGTGGATGTATTTCAAGGCCTACCTTCAAACTCAGTGCCTCTTTGCTTGACATCATGGGAAAATCAAAAGAAATCAGCCAAGACCTCAGAAAAAGAATTGTAGACCTCCACAAGTCTGGTTCATCCTTGGGAGCAATTTCCAAACGCCTGAAGGTACCACGTTCATCTGTACAAACAATAGTACGCAAGTATAAACACCATGGGACCACGCAGCCGTCATACCGCTCAGGAAGGAGACGCGTTCTGTCTCCTAGAGATGAACGTACTTTGGTACGAAAAGTGCAAATCAATCCCAGAACAACAGCAAAGGACCTTGTGAAGATGCTGGAGGAAACAGGTACACAATTATCTACGGTTTGCAACTGCACATGGGGACAAAGATTGTACTTTTTGGAGAAATGTCCTCTGGTCTGATGAAACAAAAATAGAACTGTTTGGCCATAATGACCATCGTTATGTTTGGAGGGAAAAGGGGACTGTTTGCAAGCCGAAGAACACCATCCCAACCATGAAGCACGGGGTGGCAGCATCATGCTGTGGGGGTGCTTTGCTGCAGGAGGGACTGGTGCACTTCACAAAATAGATGGCATCATGAGGAAGAAAATTATGTGGATATATTGAAGCAACATCTCAAGACATCAGTCAGGAAGTTAAAGCTTGGTCGCAAATGGTTCTTCCAAATGAACAATGACCCCAAGCATATTTCCAAAGTTGTGGCAAAATGGCTTAAGGACAACTAAGTCAAGGTATTGGAGTGGCCATCACAAAGCCCTGACCTCAATCCTATAGAAACTTGTGGGCAGAACTGAAAAAGCGTGTGCGAGCAAGGAGGCCTACAAACCTGACTCAGTTACACCAGCTCTGTCAGGAGGAATGGGCCAAAATTCACCCAACTTACTGTGGGAAGCTTGTGGAAGGCTACCTGAAACGTTTGACCCCAGTTAAACAATTTAAAGGCAATGCTACCAAATACTAATTGAGTGTATGTAAACTTCTGACCCACTGGGAATGTGATGAAATAAATAAAAGCTGAAATAAATCATTCTCTCTACTATTATTCTGACATTTCACATTCTTAAAATAAAGTGGTGATCCTAACTGACCTAAAACAGGGACTTTTTTACTAGGATTAAATGTCAGGAATTGTGAAAAACTGAGTTTAAATGTATTTTGGCTAAGGTGTATGTAAACTTCCGACTTCAACTGTATCTAGCATATCAAGTTTGATACTTGTATCATAAAATATAACAATTATTTCACCTATCCACTGGACTAGTGGTTCTCCTGGACCAGCAGTGAAGAACATAAGATGTAGGATCTTAATTTGATTACTCTTTTGTTGCTGAGAATTGTCGTGTAGAGCAGGAAATGCAAATGTGTAGTATATTCAAGGTTTAAAAAGGCTTTTAAAGTTTGTAATTTCCACTTAAATGTCAGACTTGATTTGCCTTACCAAAAAATTTATCAACCCCTACAAAAATCTCCATGAATTATAATTCACATTTTCTGTTGCTGCAGGATTATTTTCCTGCTGTAGCAAACTTGCTCAAATTAAGATCCTACATTTGTAGTATGACATTGATAGTCATAGAAATGATCAGTGATGGTCATCCAGTAGATATGAGGAGGTAGGGACTGACCAGTGTTGTTCCCCCCTTCGGCCTCGAGCTGGGTTCTGAGGGTCCTCTGGGCGGGCTCGGGGCCTGTTAGGACCTGGGGGTTCTTCCCTCGTACCTGGAAACAGCCAAACGTCAAGCTGCTGAGACGCTGGGCTTCCCCGGGCTTGGACTGGACACCACCTCCTCGCTTTTGCTCCAGGGCTGGAACACATACATGAAACAGACTTTAAAATGTCTAGCCAGGGGATTTGGGTGTGTGTGTCTTTCCTGTGGTCCTTACCCTGCATCTGTTTCTGTAACTCCTGGATCTGAGCCTCCTGCTGAATGTTGGTCTCTCTCAGAGCAGCATTCTCCACCTCAAACTAGGAACAGCACAAACTCTTGTAACACCAAAAAGCATCAACACTAATACTATACAAATACACATGCTTGTTTTGCTTTCCTTGTGGTGACCAAACAATTGATTCCCATTGAAAATACTATTTTTCCTAACCCTAATTGCAACCCTAAGCCTAAATAGCATTTTTCCTTGTGGGGACTGGCAAAATGTTTTCCTTGTTTTGCTATCCTTGTGAGGACACACACTTCCTGTACTGTACCTCACACAGCTTCAGCATCACCCACTCTTTGATCTTGGCTGCTTTCTCCTCCACAGTCTTAGCATCCTGGGCTCGGATCTGTTTCTGGTAAGGGACAGAGACAGATATCAACACTGATCTAGGATCAGCATATCCTCCCCCAATCCTAACCCTTAGGGGGGAAAGCACAAAACTGACCTTAGATCACTGTCTAGGGGCGGCTCTTTACCTGCTCCTCCAGTTGTGTCTCCAGCAGGGTGATGACATCATCCTTCTCCTGTAGGAGAGACTGTAGGTCCTGACAGCGTTTGAACAACCGCACCTCAGAGTCACCTGACTGACCGTCTGGAGCCTTCACTTTCTCCTCCATCCACTGCACCTAAGAGAGAGACACACACACACACACACATTGTTATAAAGAGCACACATGCACACACTCATACGCACACATCACACACGTAATAGAATGTGCTCAAGAAATATACAGGTAACTTCCCAAATAATGGAAACACTTGAGTAAATGAGGGATACAAAGAATGTTGAAAGCAGGTGCTTCCACACAGGTGTGGTTCATTAGTTAATTAAGCAATTAACATCCCATCATGCTTATGGTCATGTATAAAAATGCTCGGCAGGCCATTATTTTGGCCATTATTTTGGATACCATGGCTATGCCACCATAGGATGAAAATGCCCCCATCCACAGGGCATGAGTGGTCACTGAATGGTTTGAAGAGCATGCAAACGTGTAAACCATATGCCATGTGTCAGTCACCAGATGTCAACCCAATTGAACACTTATGGGAGATTCTGGAGCGGCGCATGAGACAGCGTTTTCCACCACCATCAACAACACACCAAATGATGGAATTTCTCGTGGAGGAATGGTGTCACATCCCTCCAATAGAGTTCCAAACACTTGTAGAATCTATACCAAGGCACATTGAAGCTGTTCTGGCTCGTCGTGGCCCAACACCCTATTAAGACACTTTATGTTGGTGTTTCCTTTATTTTGGCAGTTACCTGTACATGTAACACACACAAATACACACACACGAGCATGCTGACACACACGTACGCACACACACATCTCATTTACCTGCTGGTGAGCTTTGAAGGCACATTTCTCTGCCTCTATCACCTGCGTCTCCAGCTGCTGAATCTGTAAGAGGGAGAATGAAGGAAACATGTTTATGTTTCATGTTTACATACACAGTCACTGAATACATCCTCAGTCCCACTCCCATGACTTGCACTGAATGATGTGAATGAGACCTTTCATTTCCCTCTTGGAAAATGGTCTAACCCATTAAAACAATGTTTATACAGTCTGAGAGGAGAAATATCAACCTCCACACAAACCCAAATGCAGCAAATATAGAATGGGAGGTGGTGCATACTAGACATAGTGAGAGTGCCATTACTGATAACGCTGACTAATTTATGTTCTTAAATGGAAAAGGGAACAGTTACATTCCCCAAATGCTCTTGCATTGAGCATCCATTGTCAAATACATTTAAAAATCTAATGGAAACAACTTATTTCTTTATTGGTCATATTTTGTATGTCATCACTTGTAACTACTAAACCTGTATAGACTAACTCATTCACTTACTCCAGTGAGACTTGACTCCTGTTGTACTGCCCCTCTTGGTTATGGCTACAGTTTGTAACGCGGAAGTCGGGTTGGATGTGAAAGTGTATGGTCGCACGGTGTCAAGTCTCACGGTTACAGCCAGTCCTTTGTGTGCCCCGACCAGAGAGGACTCTTAGAAAGCTGTCAGGCTCATGTTAAACCACAGAGACACAGAGAGTGCCATTAATACCAGAGAACACCACTGTTTGCACTGCAACGAGACGCCTAACGGATCTAGTGCACTTCGCACGCCACTTTGTCACAATTACAGTGGACGCGCACGCACAGGCACGCACGCACATACATACACACACGCATACAAAGGAAAGAATGCACTCACGTGCACACAGACACAGCTTTGTGGGAATGGGGAAGAATACTTTATGAGTAGCATTCCTCTCAAATGCCTCAGCTCAAAGTGGCGGAAGTGGCAGGGAAACCAATGTCTTCTGAGGAGGCACTTGAAAAATCCCAAGCCCTCTGACAAACACGGCCTTTGAATGTGCAGCAACAAGACAACCTCCCTTCCACAAAGTCCCATTACAGCAGCGGCATTCTATCCAACACACACACACAAACACACACACACACACACACACACACACACACACAGTCCAGTATTCTGGGATCATGACATCATTGTGTGGCTATAGTGGAGCCTGTGCGGACCGGAGAGCTGGCTCCAGAGTTGCTGTTGGACTCTCATTGCTCTGGCACTGGTTCTACTCAGCAATGTGTTTCCCTTTAGTTCTAGTGACTGGGAAATGGACCCAGCCCAGCCCAGCCAGACCCAGAGGTTAGCTGATGCTATGCCCTTACACACACACACACACACTCAGAGTTTCCATTGCAGGAGAATAATACGTTTGGAAGACTATGTGGATCAAAACTGTATGTATGGGTTTTCTGTGTGTGTGTGTGTACATAGGGATCAGGAACCAAGGAAGTTGTTTTATGGGCATTTCAGTAGAAAGGGGAGTCAGTGAAGCCAGTGGTACACAGCAAATCCTGTCTGAACCAGTCAGGTCCACTCTTTCTTCCAACTCTGGCTAAGGGAAAGAAGGCCTGGAGCCTATTCACAGCAGAGAGCAGGGCCAGACTGTACACACACTACCCTAACTGTGGCCAGTGGTGTGCCAGCTGGACCAAAGGGTGTGTTCAGATCAAAAACACACATGAAACCTGCGGAATATGTCATACAGGGCCGGCCCTAGGCATAAGCGACATCATTTTATTTGTCAGTCACTGACAGTCACTCAATTAGCCCATGTCAGCAAAACATTTTTAGATTGATAAATTAGTCTAGCCAGCTATCTGAAAGTAATCATGGCCGAATTACCGACCGGGTACGTGCGCAGGGGCTCTGACCTCCAGGGTACCCACATTGATTTTGTTAGTCACTCTCTCTCAGATATCATATTAACATGGCATAATTCTTGGCAAAATGTCAGGAAGTTTGCTTTAAAACTTCAACAATTTCTCCCCACCCCATAGCAAAATGTGGAAGGAAATTGGATGTAAAACTGCAAAATTCTCTCTGCGCCCCATGGCAAAATATGTAGAATTACAGGAAATATAAAAAATTACTCTAACACTTAAATGTTTTGCTCAGGAGTTGGGGGGTCCCCCCAAACAATCGCGTTTAGGGTCGGCCTTGCACACACATACAAATGTACACACGCACATGCACACAGAGTGGCAGACAGGCAAGCACTCACGAACACTCACACACTTAGCCACATCTTCTTAGAAAGGATTCTCCAGAGCCCAAGGTCGTCCACAAATGACAAACCACAGCTTTCTCTCAATGCACAGATATAGCATCAGGCAGAGAATAGAACTGTAATTACAGGCAGGCAATTCTACGGTAGCAGAATGACGCTGAGACTTTTTCACTTTAAACGTATGCCAAACAAAAACCATCGATTGCAAAGTTAACCCTTTACACTCGTGGGAATTGGCCTATATGGAGAGGGCTAAATTGAAATGTTGAAATATTTTGGTTATTGAACTACAGTAAGTGAAGTGGATTAACACCCGGTAACAGAATGACATTTACATTTACATTTACATCATTTAGCAGACACTCTTATCCAGAGCGACTTACATTATTTATTAATTTTTTTTCATACTGGCCCCCCGTGGCAATCGAACCCACAACCCTGGCGTTGCAAACGAACCCACAACCCTGGCCAGACCGAAGCCACTCCTCAGTAAAAGGCACATGACAGCCTGCTTGGAGTTTGCCAAAAGGCACCTAAAGGACTCTCAGACCATGAGAAACAAGATTCTCTGTTCTGATGAAACCAAGATTGAACTCTTTGGCCTGAATGCCAAGCGTCACGTCTTGAGGAAACCTGGCACCATCCCTACAGTGAAGCATGGTGGTGGCAGCTTCATGCTGTGGGGATATTTTTCAGTGGCAGGGAGACTAGTCAGGATTGAGGGGAAGATGAACGGAGCAAAGTACAGAGAGATCCTTTATGAAAACCTGCTCCAGAGTGCTCAGGACCTCAGACTGGGGCGAAGGTTCACCTTCCAACAGGACAATGACCTTAAGCACACAGCCAATACAACGCAGGAGTGGCTTCGGGACAAGTCTCTGAATGTCCTTGAGTGGCCCAGCCAGAGCCCGGACTTGAACCTGATCGAACATCTCTGGAGAGACCTGAAAATAGCTGTGCAGCGACGCTACCCATCCAACATGACAGAGATTGAGAGGATCTGCAGAGAAGAATGGGAGAAACTCCCCAAATACAGGTGTGCCAAGCTTGTAGCATCATACCCAAGAAGACTTGAGGCTGTAATCGCTGCCAAATTTGCTTCAACAAAGTACTGAGTAAAGGGTTTGAATACTTACGTAAATGTGATATTTCAGTTTTTTATTAGTAATACATATGCAAAAATGTCTAAAAACCAGTTTTTGCTTTGTCATTATGGGGTATTGTGTGTAGATTGATGAGGAAAAAAACAATTTAATTCATTTTAGAATAAGGCTGTAACTTAAGAATTTTTTTGAAAATACTTAACGAATGCACTGTATAAAGACTTACAATTTCCCCATCTCCCTTTTACTAATAGTGAGCGTGCAACTATCCAACAATTTCCCCCTCTTCCCTACCAGTGAGTCAAGGAAATTCTGACAAAGTTTTAGGATATTTTCAATGAACGTAAAGGAAAGTAGTGTTACAGGTTTCAATAGGCCACAAGATATTAACGTTTCAAGAAAGGAGTGTATATATTTGTCCTGGCGAAGCGCTTTTATGCGCTGACTGAATGGAAGCTACTAATTATGAGTTTTGTACTCCGCTGGTCTCTCGGGAAGAAATTACGAGTCCTCACTGTCCGATACCGAGTCAAGACTGAGTAAAAATGTATCTGACACCGAGACAAGACCAAGACACTCAATGTGGTCTCGAGACCAGACTCCTACAACACTGGTAGCAAGTGACCCAACTGTGGTTTGTGACTCCTATGAATTCCCATTGTAGTCAATTCAGTTGCAGTCTGTTAAAGATTTTTGTGTAGGATGGAAAATGGTTGAACAATTTATATATGCCTTAAATTCAACAACAAAAAAATAAACTTCATTTGATTGACACCAAATTTGATGTGCTCCTATGACATGTTATTGCTCATGGGGCTTTTTAACATGGAAATGCCCAGGCCATATAGAGAGTACAGCTGGAGAATGGGAGAAAGGACGCACACACATGCAAACACTTGTTTAAGGATGCATCACTGTCTATCGTTTCCTGAGCAGCTCTGATGGGACTTTGTTAATGATAGTTACTGGAATTTACACTGTGGTAATCTGTGTTATGGTCCATTACCATGTCCCTGAAATACACTTCCAGTCAGACAACGTCTACATAACATGAACACACAATGTTTACACACTTGAAACACAAAAGGCTCAACATTAAGACATGTCAAATCAAATCAAATCAAATGTTATTGGCCACATGCGCCGAATACAACATGTGTAGACATTACAGTGAAATGCTTACTTACAGCCCTTAACCAACAATGCATTTATTTCTTAAATAAAAAAGTAAAATAAAACAACAACAAAAAAGTGTTGAGAAAAAAAGAGCAGAAGTAAAATAAAATAACATTAGGGAGGCTATATATACAGGGGGGTACCGGTGCAGAGTCAATGTGCGGGGGCACCGGCTAGTTGAGGTAGTTGAGGTAATATGTACGTGTGGGTAGAGTTAAAGTGACTATGCATAAATAATTAACTGAGTAGCAGCAGCGTAAAAATATGGGGTGGGGGGGCAGTGCAAATAGTCCGGGTAGCCATAATTAGCTGTGCGGTAGCAGAGAGAACAGTCTATGACTAGGGTGGCTGGAGTCTTTGACAATTTTGAGGGCCTTCCTCTGACACCGCCTGGTATAGAGGTCCTGGATGGCAGGAAGTTTGGCCCCAGTGATGTACTGGGCTGTACGCACTACCCTCTGTAGTGCCTTGCGGTCGGAGGCCGAGCAGTTGCCATACCAGGCGGTGATGCAACCAGTCAGGATGCTCTCGATGGTGCAGCTGTATAATTTTGTGAGGGGAATAGGCTTTGTTGTGCCCTCTTCACGACTGTCTTGGTGTGTTTGGACCATGATAGTTCGTTGGTGACCTGTTTCACTACAGCCCCGTCGATGAGAATGGGGGCGTGCTCAGTCCTCTTTTTTTTTCCTGTAGTCCACAATCCTCTCCTTTGTCTTGGTCACGTTGAGGGAGAGGTTGTTATCCTGGCACCACACGGCCAGGTCTCTGACTTCCTCCCTATAGGCCGTCTCATCGTTGTCTGTGATCAGGCCTACCACTGTTGTGTCGTCGGCAAACTTAATGATGGTGTTGGAATCATGCCTGGCCATGCAGTCATGGGTGAACAGGAAGTACAGGAGGGGACTGAGCATGCACCCGTGAGGGGCCCCCGTGTTGAGGATCAGTGTGGCAGATGTGTTGTTACCTACCCTTACCACCTGGGGGTGGCCCGTCAGGAAGTCCAGGATCCAGTTGCAGAGGGAGGTGTTTAGTCCCAGGATCCTTAGCTTAGTGATGAGCTTTGAGGGCACTATGGTGTTGAATGCTGAGCTGTAGTCAATGAATAGCATTCTCACGTAGGTGTTCCTCTTGTCCAGGTGCGAAAGGGCAGTGTGGAGTACAATAGAGATTGCATCATCTGTGGATCTGTTGGGGCGGTATGCAAATTGGAGTGGGTCTAGGGTTTTTGGGATACTGGTGTTGATGTGAGCCATGACCAGCCTTTCAAAGCACTTCATGGCTACAGACGTCAGTGCTACGGGTCGGTAGTCATTTAGGCAGGTTATCTTAGTGACCTCGGGCACGGGGACTATGGTGGTCTGCTTGAAACATGTTGGTATTACAGACTCAGTCAGGGACATGTTGAAAATGTCAGTGGTCAGCACATGCTCGGAGTACACATTTTACATTACATTTTAGTCATTTAGCAGACGCTCTTATCAAGAGCGACTTACAGTTAGTGAGTGCATACATTTTTGTTTTTCATACTGTCCCCCGTGGGAAACGAACCCACAACCCTGGCGTTGCAAGTGCCATGCTCTACCAACTGAGCTACACGTCTGCCAGTCCTGGTAATCCGTCTGGCCCTGCGGCCTTGTGAATGTTGACCTGCTTAAAAGTCTTACTCACATTGGCTACGGAGAGCGTGATCACATAGTCATCTGGAACAGCTGGTGCTCTCATGCATGCTTCAGTGTTGCTTGCCTCGAAGCGAGCATAGAAGTGGTTTAGCTCGTCTGGAAGTCTTGTGTCACTGGGCAGCTCGCGGCTGTGCTTCCCTTTGTAGTCTGTAATAGTTTTCAAGCCCTGCCACATCCGACGAGCATCAGAGTCGGTGTAGTACGATTCAATCTTAGTCCTGTACTGATTCCTTGCCTGTTTGATGGTTCGTCGGAGGGCATAGCAGGATTTCTTATAAGCGTCCGGGTTAGAGTCCCGCTCCTTGAAAGCGGCAGCTGTACCCTTTAGCTCAGTGCGGATGTTGCCTGTAATCCATGGCTTCTGAATGGGGTATGTACGTACGGTCACTGTGGGGACAATGTCATTGATGCACTTATTGATGAAGCCAGTGACTGATGTGGTGTACTCCTCAATGCTATCTGAAGAATCCCGGAACATGTTCCAGTCTGTGCTAGAAAAACAATCCTATAGCTTAGCATCTGTGTCATCTGACCACTTTTTTATTAACCGAGTCACTGGTGCTTCCTGCTTTAGTTTTTGCTTATAAGCAGGAATCAGGAGGATAGAGTTATGGTCAGATTTGCCAAATGGAGGGCAAGGGAGAGCTTTGTATGCGTCTCTGTGTGTGGAGTAAAGGTGGTCTAGAGTTTTTTTTCTCCTCTGGTTGCACATTTAACATGCTGGCAGAAATTAGGTAGAACTGATTTAAGTTTCCCTGCATTAAAGTCCCCGGCCACTAGGAGCGCTGCCTCTGGATGAGCATTTTCCTGTTTACATTTACATTTACATTTACGTCATTTAGCAGACGCTCTTATCCAGAGCGACTTACAAATTGGTGCATTCACCCTATAGCCAGTGGGATAAACACTTTACAATTATTATTTTATTTATTTTTTAGGGGGGGGGGGGGGGGGGGGGGGGGGGGGGTAGAAGGATTAGTTTATCCTATCCCAGGTATTCCTTAAAGAGGTGGGGTTTCAGATGTCTCCGGAAGGTGGTGAGTGACTCCGCTGTCCTGGCGTCGTGAGGGAGCTTGTTCCACCATTGGGGTGCCAGAGCAGCGAACAGTTTTGACTGGGCTGAGCGGGAACTATGCTTCCGCAGAGGAAGGGGAGCCAGCAGGCCAGAGGTGGATGAACGCAATGCCCTCGTTTGGGTGTAGGGACTGATCAGAGCCTGAAGGTACGGAGGTGCCGTTCCCCTCACAGCTCCATAGGCAAGCACCATGGACTTGTAACAGATGCGAGCTTCAACTGGAAGCCAGTGGAGTGTGCGGAGGAGCGGGGTGACGTGAGAGAACTTGGGAAGGTTGAACACCAGACGGGCTGCGGCATTCTGGATGAGTTGTAGGGGTTTAATGGCACAGGCAGGGAGCCCAGCCAACAGCGAGTTGCAGTAATCCAGACGGGAGATGACAAGTGCCTGGATTAGGACCTGTGCCGCTTCCTGTGTAAGGCAGGGTCGTACTCTCCGAATGTTGTAGAGCATGAACCTGCAGGATCGGGTCACCGCCTTGATGTTAGCGGAGAACGACAGGGTGTTGTCCAGGGTCACGCCAAGGCTCTTCGCACTCTGGGAGGAGGACACAACGGAGTTGTCAACCGTGATGGCGAGATCATGGAACGGGCAGTCCTTCCCCGGGAGGAAGAGCAGCTCCGTCTTGCCAAGGTTCAGCTTGAGGTGGTGATCCGTCATCCATACTGATATGTCTGCCAGACATGCAGAGATGCGATTCGCCACCTGGTTATCAGAAGGGGGAAAGGAGAAGATTAGTTGTGTGTCGTCAGCGTAGCAATGATAGGAGAGGCCATGTGAGGATATGACAGAGCCAAGTGACTTGGTGTATAGCGAGAATAGGAGAGGGCCAAGAACTGAGCCCTGGGGGACACCAGTGGTGAGAGCACGTGGAGCGGAGACAGCTTCTCGCCACGCCACTTGGTAGGAGCGACCGGTCAGGTAGGACGCAATCCAAGAGTGAGCCGCGCCGGAGATGCCCAGCTCGGAGAGGGTGGAGAGGAGGATCTGATGGTTCACAGTATCAAAGGCAGCAGACAGGTCTAGAAGGACAAGAGCAGAGGAGAGAGAGTTAGCTTTAGCAGTGCGGAGAGCCTCCGTGACACAGAGAAGAGCAGTCTCAGTTGAATGACCAGTCCTGAAACCTGACTGGTTTGGATCAAGAAGGTCATTCTGAGAGAGATAGCAAGAGAGTTGGCTAAAGACGGCACGCTCAATAGTTTTGGAAAGAAAAGAAAGAAGGGATACTGGTCTGTAGTTGTTGACATCAGAGGGATCAAGTGTTGGTTTTTTGAGAAGGGGTGCAACTCTCGCTCTCTTGAAGACGGAAGGGACATAGCCAGCGGTCAAGGATGAGTTGATCAGCGAGGTGAGGTAGGGGAGAAGGTCACCGGAGATGGTCTGGAGAAGAGAGGAGGGGATGGGGTCAAGCGGGCAGGTTGTTGGGCGGCCTGTAGTCACAAGTCGCAAGATTTTGTCTGGAGAGAGAGGGGAGAAAGAAGTCAAAGCATAGGGTAGGGCAGTGTGAGCAGGACCAGCAGTGTCATTAGACTTAAAAAACGAGGATCGGATGTCGTCAACCTTCTTTTCAAAGTGGTTGACGACGTCATCCACAGAGAGGGAGGGGGGGGGGGGGGGGGGGGGAGGAGGAGGATTCAGCAGGGAGGAGAATGTGGCAAAGAGCTTCCTAGGGTTAGAGGCAGATGCTTGGAATTTAGAGTGGTAGAAAGTGGCCTTAGCAGCAGAAACAGATGAAGAAAATGTAGAGAGGAGGGAGTGAAAAGATGCCAGGTCCACAGGGAGTCTAGATTTCTTCCATTTCCGCTCAGCTGCCCGGAGCTCTGTTCTGTGAGCTCGCAATGAGTCATCAAGCCACGGAGCTGGAGGGGAGGACCGAGCCGGCCGGGAGGATAGGGGACACAGAGAGTCAAAGAATGCAGAAAGGGAGGAGAGGACGGTTGAGGAGGCAGAATCAGGAGATTGGAGGGAGAAGGATTGAGCAGAGGGAAGAGATGATAGGATGGAAGAGGAGAGAGTAGTGGGAGAGAGAGAGCGAAGGTTGCGGCGGCGCATTACCATCTGTGTAGGGGCAGAGTGAGTAGTGTTGTAGGAGAGCGAGAGAGAAAAGGATACAAAGTAGTGGTCGGAGACATGGAGGGGAGTTGCAGTGAGATTAGTAGAAGAGCAGCATCTAGTAAAGATGAGGTCAAGCGTATTGCCTGCCTTGTGAGTAGGGGGGGACGGTGAGAGGGTGAGGTCAAAAGAGGAGAGGAGTGGAAAGAAGGAGGCAGAGAGAAATGAGTCAAATGTAGACGTAGGGAGGTTGAAATCCCCCAAAACTGTGAGGGGTGAGCCATCCTCAGGAAAGGAACTTATCAAGGCGTCAAGCTCATTGATGAACTCTCCAAGGGAACCTGTAGAGCGATAGATGACAAGGATATTAAGCTTAAATGGGCTAGTGACTGTGACAGCATGGAATTCAAATGAGGAGATAGACAGATGGGTTAGGGGAAAAATTGAGAATGTCCACTTGGGAGAGATGAGGATTCCTGTGCCACCACCCCTCTGACCAGATGCTCTCGGGGTATGCGAGAACACATGGTCAGACGAGGAGAGAGCAGTAGGAGTAGCAGTGTTTTCAGTGGTAATCCATGTTTCCGTCAGCGCCAGGAAGTCGAGGGACTGGAGGGTAGCATAGGCTGGGATGAAGTCAGCCTTGTTGGCAGCAGAACAGCAGTTCACTTATGGCCTTATACAGCTCATTCAGTGCAATCTTAATGCCAGCATTGGTTTGTGGTGGTAAATAGACAGCCATGAAAAATATAGATGAAAACTCTCTTGGTAAATAGTGTGGTCTACAGCTTATCATAAGATACTCTACCTCAGGCGAGCAAAACCTCAAGACTTACTTAGTATTTGATTTTGGCAACCAGCTGTTGTTTACAAATATACACAGACCGCCACCCCTTGTCTTACCGGAGTCAGCCGTTCTATTCTGCCAATGTAGCGTATAGCCTGCTAGCTGCATGTTGTCCATGTCGTCGTTCAGCCACAACTCGGTGAAACATAATATATTACAGTTTTTAATGTCCCGTTGGTAGGATAACCGTAATCTTAGGTCATCTAATTTATTCTCAAATGATTGAACATTGGCTAATAGGATTGATGGAAGAGGCAGTTTACTCGCTCGCCGTCGGATCCTTACAAGGCACCCCGACCTACGTCCACGATATCTCCGTCTCTTTCTCATGCGAATGACGGGGATTTGGGCCTTGTCGGGTGTCTGTAGGATATCCTTCGCGTCCGACTTGTTGAAGAAAAAATATTTGTCCAATACGAGGTGAGTAATCGCTGTCCTGATATCCAGAAGCTCTTTTTGGTTATAAGAGAAACATTATGTACAGAATAAATTACAAATAACGCGGAAAAACACACATAATAGTACAATTGGTTAGAGGGCTGTAAAACGGCAGCCATCTTCTCCGGCGCCATTGGAATGCACAACTGATGTGCCGTTCTGCCCCCATAACTATAACATCTCTCCATCACTCCACCCTTCAACCTCCTCACTGGATCCAAACTCCAGTTTGCCTACCATTCCTGGAATTCCAGGCCTGCCTCGTTGTGGCCAGCCAAACAACCCCCCCCCCCCCCCACACACACACCCTCCCCACTCACACACACAACCCTCCATCCACAGCCTAGCCAGCTCACAAAGCCTCCTTCTGTAGACACCAGGCCTACATCTTTACTCTGTAGTAGCTCAACATCTTAGCAGCTGAACACTACAGTAAAGCAATGGTTCTAACTGATTTCCGTGCAGTGGCTCCATCAGATATAGAGTACTTCCACACAGCAGACACTTGACTACTGGTGAGAGGGAGAATTGTGCTGAGGGGCTACAACTGTGGTCCTCACAGATCTCAGTGATTAGAGCAGACACAGAGGCCCTTTGAGTCGCCTACACACATGCACGAACACATACATCATATGCCCGCACAAACACACACCTACATCTACACACACACTCAAGCACACACAAATACACACATGATCACACATACTGTACGCACGCACGCACACACACTCACACACACACACACACTTACACTCACACACAGTATATACCTGCACACGCACACACACGTACGCATGCACGCACGTACACACGCACACACGTCTGTCATGAGGAGGAAACCGATGGAGAATCGAGCAAATATCTCAAGGTTAGAGACGTAGGCGGAATTCCATCTTGAGATTTGTGGCAGCTGTGACAGCTCTGAAATTGGAAGCATATGTCTGTGTGAACACTGCAGTGGGTGTGGAGAGGCAGCACAGTCTTACTAAAGAGATACAACTGGCTTTTCTCTCTGAGTGTTTGTGTTAGTGTGTGTGCACATTTGTTTGTGCTTTTATTTGTGTGTGCGCCTACAATAACAGACCACTCTATAGCCACTGAGTTTGTGGATGCTATTGCCATCCTACTGTAAGTACAACAGTAAGGTAAACTATGGTGGTCCAGTCTACTTACTTCACATCCTTGTGTGTGATTGACATGCCCTGTCAGAGAGATGATTGGTCCACGTGACATTTAACCCCAACTCCTCCACAGGAGGCCACTACCCACACAAATGTGGAATTAATCTGGGAGTGAAAGGCAGGAAGTGGGGGGAACGCTAAAACCAGAGCACATTTCTCCACCCCAAATGTGGTTTCTGTCTTTTAACATGTGTGTTTGTGTGTGTGTGTGTGTGTGTGTGAGGATCTGGACCATAGAAGTAGGGCACTGTGACTGTCTGGTCCCAAATACTTCATCCTCCCTTTCTGTGTCGACTCTACTGCTCAGGGTTCTACTGTAGTGGTGAGTGGACTTCCTCATGCAGTAAGAAGGCGACATCAGAGAGCAGTAGTAGTATCAACAGGGCCTAGCCTATGAGAGAGAGTGAGAGTGAGATAGAGTATAGGAGAAAGAGAGTGAGCGTTTAAGAGGAAAATAGAGAGTCTGGTACAGAGAGAGAGCGAGAGAGAGAGAGGTGAGAGAGAGAGAGAGACTGAAGGGGGTAGGGAGAGAGGGAGCAATGCAGCATCCTGGGAAAATAAAACACACATGGTCTCTTTGTCTCTAGTATGAGCTGTGTGGACCACTGTTCCAGCTGGCTAGTTCAGGGGCCAAAACCAACGCCCCACCTAGCAAAAGGAGAGCATTAAAGAGAGTGAGAGAAGAACGTGTGAGAGGGTGAAAGGAGAGAGAGAGAGAGAGAGAGAGAGACAGAGAGAGAGACTAGTTGTAACCCACATCCCTCCATCGTTCCAAACATGGAGAAGTGTAGACTGGCTCTCTCTCTGCCTCGGTCACTTCCTGTGCAACACGCTCTCTGTTTACAAACCCAGGAATTTCCTCCCCTGGGCCGCCAAATGATTACAAGAGTGTTTATTTCTACTCCGTCTCTCCCTCCTCCTCTCCCTCTTTCTTTACCTTCACTCTCTCTACTACTTGACCAATGTTCCATGTTTTCCTACTATTTTGTACCTTCTCTCTATTCCCTTAGTGAGTTAGAGCTTTCTGGTATTGGTGATGACATTAGTATGGTTGGTGGTCTGTCTTTGTCTTTATGTTTCATCTCGTTTCACCTTGCCAACACACCATTCAAGATCTCAAGTCCTCTATTAATGAGAAAAAACCTCCACTCTGCTCACGTCTCGCTAACACAACTGTAGAGCACTTCACCACTAAAAGAAACACACATTCAAACTCGGCCACATTAATACTGCACCCACCCACTGCCCACTCAGCAAACTAGCTCGCACCCCCCCCCACACAAACCGGTGGCAGTTAGCCTAGCGGTTAGAGCCAGTAACCGAAAGGTTGCGGTTTCGAATCTCCGACCTGACAAGGTGAAAAATCTGTCGATGTGCCCTTGAGCAAGGCACTTAACCCTAATTGTTCCAGTAAGTCGCTCTGGATAAGAGTGTCTGCTAAATATACAAAATTAAAAAATGTAAACCCCCACACACACACCATTTAGGTGCCTGCAATTCACCAAACAGATGAGACAGTGGGAGATTAGTGAGATTCTTTGAGGCATACGTGCACCCCCACACACTGATGCATGGTTTAAAACAACAGGCGCTGACACACTGCGAGCCCAGTACAGAGGAACAAAAACACACTGGGATGACTGCATTGGGATTTTCACTTGATGAGCTCATCTCGTGTTAGTAGGAAATCCAGTAGGACTGAGGTCAAAGGTCACAGGAGAAAAAACAGGCTGACTCCACTCAGGGCCGGACCATAGAGGGAGGGAAGGAGGATAATAAGGTTAGACACTACTAGTGAGAGTGACCCCTCACCCCTGACTCGGGTTGATTTAATATTTTCCCGGTATTTTACAAATGTTCCATCCCGAATCCCGAGAATAAATAACTTTTTTCCTCCCGGGTAATCAGTGTCATTCTAAAGTATATAAATATGTCTGGATTTGATTAGAGCTTTTATCGGCTCTAAAAATTCAAGCCTGATTCTACCTGAGCCTGATGAGCCATACATTAAAGACATTTTATGAGCCCAAAAAAGACAAAATGATTGTGCCATTACCCAGTAGGCCTAAATGTAAATATTCAGACCCCTTGACTTTTTCCACATTTTGTTACGTTACAGCCTTATTCTAAAATGGATTTAAAAAATAATAATCCTCATCAATCTATACACAATACCCCATAATTACAAAGCAAAAACAGGTTGTTAGAAATGGAGCTACCATTGGAAGGCACGAGGAGTTGCTTCATGGTCTTATGGAAGGTTTCCAGACCTTGACAGAATGCCATGACAGCGCGTTGAATACATAGCTGGAGCAATTCCGCGGGTTGTCTGTTAGGCAGCCTACCACGACGGTAACCTCCCAGCCCCTCAGTAACCCGGCTGTCAGCAGCGCGTCTCTCCCGGCCACCCGGCTTCCCGAGAACCCCGCTTACCTCCCCTGGAACACTTCGCTGGAGAGTCGGGAACCTGTCGGGCGTTTCTCAGTGTTCCCTCATCTTCGAGCTGCAGCCTTCCTCCTTCCCCTCGGACCACTCTAAGATTGCGTACCTCATCACACTGATGTCCGGGAGGGCTCTTGCCTGGGCTACGGCAGTGTGGGAACAACAGTCTGTCGTGTGATCCAGTCTGGAGGAGTTCGTGGCTGAGGTAAAGAAGGTTTTCGATTCTCCGTTGTCCGGGAAAGAGGCTCTCCGGAAGTTACTCCAGCAAGACTCCCGCAGTGTGGCAGACTATGCGGTGGATTTCTGCACGTTGGCTGCCGAGAGTGCCTGGAACACGGAATCCCTGTTTGACACGTTCCTGCACGGATTATCAGAGGAAGTTAAGGATGAGCTCACAGCCCGGGAACTGCCGACGGATCTCGACTTGCTCATCGCCTTGACCATCCGGATCGATGGGCGACTACGGGAACGTAGGAAGGAGAGGAGGTCCGATTCCGGTTCCACAAGCCCACCCGAGGATTCTACCTCGCCTCCGAGGCATCCCGGAAGTCCCCGACATCTAAGTTTCCGAGAGAATCCGAGGCTACCCGAGTTCCCCCAGAGAGTCTCCGAAGTCTGCCGATTCACCTCTTCCCGAGCCAATGCAACTAGGCAGAGCTAGGTTGTCTCCAGCCGAACATTTACACAGGCTTAACACGAAGAGTTGTCTGTATTGCGGGACTACTGGTCATTTCGTGTCTACCTGTCCACTAAAAGAACTGGCTCACCGGTAGGGGCGAGTACTCTGGTGGGCCATACAGATAACTTTCCTTCTCCCCTTACTCGCACCCCTCTCCATGCCATCCGCTGTGGGGGAACCAGTCGAAATCTCTCCGGGTACTCATTGACTCTGGGGCCGATGAGAGTTTTATGGACATTACCCTGGCATCAGAGCTGGGCATCCCCACTCAGCCCCTCTCCATTCCCATGGACGTTAGAGCACTGGACGGGTGCTCTATAGGCAGGGTCACCCACAATACCACTCCCATCAACCTGCGAGTGTCAGGGAACCACAGCAAGGCTATCCAGTTCATGCTTATTAAGTCACCTCAGGTTCCCGTGGTATTGGGATCCAGCAACACAATCCCCTCATCGACTGGACTGCTGGTGCCATCATGGGCTGGAGCCCGTTCTGCCACGCCCATTGCCTACAGTCAGCGCAGCTTGCCCTGGGACATCTTCCGGTGGGCTCGGAAGTAGCCTCGGACCTCTCCGCCGTTCCTGCAGAGTACCAGGACCTCCGGGAGGTTTTCAGTAAGGCCCGGGCCACTTCGCTTCCTCCGCATCGACCCTATGACTGCGGGATCAACCTTCTCCTGGGCACCACACCACCCCGGGGACGACTGTATTCTCTGTCGGGTCCGGAGACCAAGACTATGGACACCTACATTGAGGACTCCCTGGCTGCAGGGTGTATCCGTCCTTCTGCCTCCCCCGCCGGCTTTTCATGTGTCTAGGATTGAACGTATGTCTCACAGCCCTTTTATCTCCTGTTTCCAGGCCCACCCCCCTCCCCCGTCTCATCGACGGCCAACCGGCGTACACGGTGAGGCGCCTCCTGAAGGTTCGGCTGCGGGGCAGGGGATTCCAGTACCTGGTTGACTGGGAGGGTTATGGCCCGGAGGAGAGGTGCTGGGTCCCCGCTAAGGACATCCTGGACACAGGCCTCTTTTCGTCAAGCCCGCCAGCGTGTTTTTCGTACTCCTGTTTTCTTGAGCCCTGTTTTCTAGTTTTCCCGGTTTTTATCTTTCTGCCTGCCCTGACCCTGTCTCGCTGTAGCGCTGTCTTAGGCATCTCACAGTACGGACATTGCAATGAGCAGGGACCCTGGGCAACTTTCTTTTTGTGTTTTTCAGAGTCAGTAGAAATGCCTCTTTAGTGTCCTAAGTTTTCATAACTGTGACCTTAATTGCCTACCATCTGTAAGCTGTTAGTGTCTTAACGACCGTTCCACAGGTGCATGTTCATTAATTGTTTATGGTTCATTGAACAAGCATGGGAAACAGTGTTTAAACCCTTTACAATTAAGATCTGTGAAGTTATTTGGATTTTTACAAATTATCTGTGGAAAGACAGGGTCCTGAAAAAGGGACATTTCTATTTTTGCTGAGTTTATATTCGAGTCATAGGCTACATTACATTTTATATAAAATGTACAATTAAAAAACAAGGTGATCCCGAAAGCCAGATGGAGATGTGTAAATTAGACACGCATTCGGTCCTTATATTACTGTAGCATAGGCTATGCTGCAGCAAATGTAGGCCTACCTGTCACAAGACAAACAGTTACCATGATGAGATGATACATGCATTGTGTACTGCGCTCCTACTGAGTTGCGCTGTCTGTCCCCACCCTGAGTGTTGATGATTGATCATGCAGATAGCAGGCCATAGAGAAGCCAGATTTAGACATCTCATATAATTTAACAGTTCCATTTCATGTTATGCTGTTCATATAAATAATTTATTATAATTTACCGGTTTCTCACAGTTATTTATCCCGGGAAAAGGGAGTGGGTTTGGGCGGGAAATCTTGGTATATCTCGGTAACCCGTTTCCCGGTATTCAACCCTACCCCTGACCCCTGACCCCTGGCCTAGGCTTATAGTGGTGAGGGAGGAACTCTGATAGATGAGTTTAGAAGGGGAGTTACACTGTTATGGGGCCTATATTACGTTTATATTACATGGTTAATCATGAAATATGGGAAAGATATCCTTCTCTCAAATAGCTAAATTCTTCAAAATGCACCCAATCAACTTCAATATACCACAGGCCTATACAAAATCACAAGCGTTTTCCCAAAGATTGTTTGGCTCAACAACTGAGCGGTAACTGTAATTCAATAAAGTCAGTTCTATCCCAGAATGCAATGCGTGACGGAGCCCTGTGGTCAGGCTGCTGTTTACATTAACCCCTAATCAGGCCTCCCTGGAGACCTTAGGCCTCAGAACTAGGCCAGCAAACTACAGGGGCCAGCCAGGCCCACCCCACTATGCAGACCAGACCAGGGCAGTCTCTCTCTCTTTCGCTCTCTCCCTGTTTCACTCTCTCCCTGTTTTACTCTCTCTCTGTTTTACTCTCTCTCTGGGTCGTTACACCTCAAAAAGCACAAGAAAGAGGATTGACACCCACCATCTCAGATTATTCTGAATCGTTTCTGTTCTTAGCATTCCTGCAACATTATTATTTTCATCCTATGTAATGTAATCACTGAGATTACATTACATAGGATGAACAAACAATATTGTGAGCCGCAGCTCCATACTACCTGTCAGACACAGAGAACTGATACTGTATACTCGTTGTTGGTTTGGGATTGGCGTGGGGTGTGGGGGGTTCATGGGTGGCTTTTTACCATTTCATTGATATCCTCATGCCTTACTCATAGTAAGAAAAATGTTTGGTCCAAATCAGATGTTAGGTACTATATTTATTGAATATTATATGAATCCTATAATCTCATCTGTTTCTAACGACAGAAATTATTTCAGAACAATCTGAGATGGTGGGTGTCATGGCTTCCTGAAATGGCTCATCACACACACACACACATGCACACACACACACACAAACACAGCTTTCAAACAGCACTGCTGCCTGACACATAACCAAGTCTTCATCATCCTACCTCATTCTTGCTCTCTCTCCCTCTACCGTTCTCACAGTTCTACATTACTGTAAACACACAAGCACACATAAACCATACCCCACCACTCCATAACCTAGATAGTAAAACACTATCCCACACCATACATGGACTGGTGTTTAAGAAGATCCTGCTGTTCAACACAAAGATAGAGATGGAGTGTGTGTGATGTATGAGAAAGAGAGAGAGACTAGGAAAGAACAGCTCTTCCAATTGACCTTTCCCCACAGCAGATACTCAACAGACGCTTCAAAGCCTGACTGACATTAATACAAATGGCAGTTAATTTAGGATCAGGCTCCAAACTGAGATCCTGGGGCAAGAGGATGTGCCTATCCAACGTGGGAGGAAACCGTGGATAAAACCACTTCCTTGTTCTGTAACAGTAACAGTTAATACCAGCTCCAAATGAGGGAATGTGGTTAAGATGGAATTTTTTGCTCATTCAGCCTGAGCTGTGAAATGGCCAGTTAAGAGTGCTCATGAGAAAGGATGAAGGACTGGCTGCTTGGAATGGTAATGGATGATAGTCCTGTGACTGTTTTGGGGGGATTTGAGAGTGTTACGGTCATGTTCTTTAGGTGATGCGTTTGCTTCAGTTTGCATCCTATAGGAGAGCCTGGGATGTAAGGCTACTTGGGATCATTCAACAACGTACAGGTTCAATTTGTTAGAATTTGATACAACCTGTTACTTAAGACCAACCTTGTCTGCCGTTAGCTCTCTGATCTTGATGATCTGCACCCGGAACTTCATGAGGAGGGCTTCCAGGACGAAACACTTCTCCTTCCAGTCCTCCTGTCCCAGGGCCTCCTCTGCCTCGGCCATGGCCCCTGTCCCTGTCCCCTCCAGCCCCTGTGGAACACAGAGAAAGATACATTAATGACAATGGTGCAGTCATCTCTATTTAGTATTGTTACTTGGGATTCTGATAAGAATGGCAGAATCGTCCTTCTGTTAAAACCCTTACCCCTATGTCGTGGACTGCAAAAGAGAGGGTGGATGAGATGCATACAGTTGAGACAGATAGACACAGAGTAGCCGACACTGACACTGAGTAACTGTTGTTTTGAAACTGTAACTGTATTTCCCATCTGGCACCCCTCAAATGTTCCAAGGCTGGGCTTGACTAGGCTGGACTGGACATAACTGGTAGCCAAACAGAGCAATGTGAGAGAAATGTGTATGGACAATTCCACGGTAACGGAATTATGTATTGACTCAGTTTTTTCTAACTTTAAAATGTATGCCAAACAAGGACTACTTTTAACAATTTCCACAGAAAAATGTACAAAACCTAATTTAGTGGAAGAACTGTGCAGATTGTTGTGGAAAACTCGATCCAAAGATTAAGGCAGAGACTATTTAATTGTATAATAGAAACATCTTTAATCAAGCAGCTGCAAGGGATATCTACAGTATCTCTGGTTTCACAGGGAAGAACTCCAAGAGTAAATGGTTACATGTCCCTTATATAGTGGGAGGTGATAATACATTAATATTGTTATTTTATACAAGTAACAGTTCCGGAACAAAATGGCCTTGTGTTAGGGTGCAGGCATACCAGGAGTCTATGAAAGGCATAAGATCACAGTCCAACACAGAACATATCCCTTGAGAAGTGACAACAGCTCACCCCAAATTCTGCCACTACAAGATGCAAACTTTGTAATGGAATTACGGTAAAATCTCGCTCAGGTTTTTATGCGACCATGTTTTCCGAAAACTGTTAAATATCTATCTCTATATTAAGATTCACAGATGTCTGCAGAAAGAATGGTGTGTCAGCTATTCAGCTATGACATGGCACCTTCAGTTTGAAAAAATCTAATCTGGTTATTGAACTACAGTAAGTGAAGTGAATTTACACCTGGTAATGGAATTACAGTAACAGAATTACATCATTACATCACTACACAGAAATGCATAATTATGGAAATGAATTTGGTACCAATTTGTTAACGGAATTACGAGTTTTAATCACTTAATAATTCATAAACAAAATTGATATCAGTAAAATCACTATAACTAATTGGTAGGTCTACCATTATGTGTTACTTCTGTGAACTTTCATTATCCTCCCTCATGAGGAGGTTTTAGTCAAACTAAATGCATGCTCTTCAATCGAACGCTGCTTGCACCCGCCCGCCCGACTAGAATCACTACTCTCGGCGGGTCTGACTTAGAATATGTGGACAACTACAAATACCTATGTGTCTGGTAAGACCGTAAACTCTCCTTCCAGACTCACATGAAGCATCTCCAATCCAAAGTTAAATCTAGCAACAAAGCCTCCTTCACTCATGGTGCTAAACATGCTCTCGTAAAACTGACTATCCTACCGATCCTTGACTTCGGCGATGTCATTTACAAAATAGCTTCCAACACTCTACTCAGCAAATTGGATGTAGTCCATCACAGTGCCATCCGTTTTGTCACCAAAGCCCCATATACTACCCACCATTGTGACCTGTACGCTCTCGTTGGCTGGCCCTCACTACATATTCGTCGCCAAACCCACTGGCTCCAGGTCATCTATAAATCACTTCTAGGCAAATCCCTGCCTTATCTTAGATCATTGGTCACCATAGCAACACCCACCCGTAGTATGCGCTCCAGCAGGTATATCTCACTGGTCATCCCCAAAGCCAACACCTCCTGTGGCCGCCATTTCTTCAAGTTCTCTGCTGCAAATGACTGGAACGAACTGCAAAAATCTGTGAAGCTGGAGACACTTATCTCCCTCACTAACTTTAAGCATCAGTTGTCAGAGCAGCTTACCGATCACTGCACCTGTACACAGCCCATCTGTAATTAGCCCACCCAACTACCTCATCCCCATATTGTTATTTACATTGTTATTTATTTTGCTCATTTGCACCACAGTATCTCTATTTGCACATCATCTTCTGCACATCTATCACTCCAGTGTTAATACTAAATTGTAATTATTTTGCACTATGGCCTATTTATTGCCTTACCTCCATAACTTACTACATTTGCACACACTGTCTATAGATTTTCTATTGTGTTATTGACTGTACGTTTTGTTTATTCCATATGTAACTCTGTGTTGTTGTTTTTATCGCACTGCTTTGCTTTATCTTGGCCAGGTCGCAGTTGTAAATGGGAACTTGTTCTCAACTGGCTTACCTGGTTAAATCAATTTTTAAAAAATAAAAAAAGAGGGAGAGAAACAAAAAAATGTCTTAAAGATATGTGGGTTTTTGGTAACGGAATTACAAGGCACAAGGCAATCTTTCTTAAACTTACAGAAGGTAAACAATTTCTCCAAAAATACATATAAATGTTGATATTAGTTGGCAGGGGTCTTTAAGTCAACATTTATTGTGTTTTGATGTATTTCTTATTCCTTTTAAGACTTTTTCTGGTAGATGTTTTCGAAGACGCCTTTTCCATCTACAGTATTTATCCAGAAATCAAATTTTAAGATGGAAAATGGTTGAAAAATGTATCTATGCCTTCATTTTCAAAACCAGACTCTTAGCTTTCATTGAACACCCAATATACTATGCTCCTATACTTATATATAATACTAATAATAATATGCCCATTTAGCGACCTTTTATCCAAAGCGACTTACATAGTCATCATGCAAATTTTTGTGTCTGGTGTGTCCCGGGTATCGAACCCACTACCTTGGCTTACAAGCGCGTGCTCTACCAGCTGAGCTCCAACATTAGCCACTTCACATGTTGGTGCACATGGGTACTTTTCGATGGAAATACCCATATCATGAAAAACACGTTAGTGGGATAAACAAGAGAGAGGGAAAGAGAGTGGGATTGAGAGAGAGAGCGAGCAAGAGATGGAGACAGAGAGAGAGAAAGAAAGAAAGAACGAAAGAAGGAAAAAAGAGAGGGAGAGTAAGAGAGACATGGGGAGATCTGGGAGTGGGACAGACAGAGAGAGGGAGAAAGACTAAGTAACATTTATACTATAATAACCTCTGATTATAGCCTTGGGCTCCAAACAAAGGGAGCACAAACATGTGTGGAAGGCAATTAACTTGTTTCCACTGGCTGTTTTTGTTGGGTGTATGTTGTGGTAAACAATGACTAAGACCCGGACTTTGGGTCTGTATCAGTCTGAAAGAAAACAACGTAATGTGCCAGAGAAAGAAAAATAACATACCATTTCTGTTATTCTGTATCAAAGAAGAACAATTCGTGTGTAAACCAACATCTAAAAACTAATTATCCTAAAAGCCGTTACAGGAAAAACCCAAATCCTCTCATCGGCCTACACCTATTTAAACAATCCATAATAATCCTTGGCCTCTACCTGGCTCTCGCTTGGTAATACTTTCTGATGAGCCCATTTCCCCAAAGAGCTATGACGTTTCCCGTAGCTGCTTCCCATATCTAGCATCACATCACAGATCTGTCTTCCATATGTCTTCCTCCTCTCTGTTGCTCTTACTGTGTCTCACTGATTCTCCCTATCCTTCACTCCCTCGTTCATTCCACTGTGAATGTGTGTGTGCATGTGTGTGTGATGAGGTGATGTGGGGAGCGGAGGACATCAAAGGACAGTTGACACTTGGCCCCAGGGAAAGGGAGGAGAGCTGTCTCTCTATCTCCACTCGCTTCCTGTGAGGAAAGCCAGAGCAGCTCAGAGAAATACAAATGATAATGTAGTACACTATTAGTGACATCAATGCACATACAGTGAGGGAAAAAAGTATTTGATCCCCTGCTGATTATGTACGTTTGCCCACTGACAAAGAAATGATCAGTCTATCATTTTAATGGTAGGTTTATTTGAACAGTGAGAGACAGAATAACAACAAAAAAATCCAGAAAAACGAATGTCAAAAATGTTATAAATTGATTTGCATTTTAATGAGGGAAATAAGTATTTGACCCCCTCTCAATCAGAAAGATTTCTGCTCCCAGGTGTCTTTTATACAGGTAACGAGCTGAGATTAGGAGCACACTCTTAAAGGGAGTGCTCCTAATCTCAGTTTGTTACCTGTATAAAAGACACCTGTCCACAGAAGCAATCCATCAATCAGATTCCAAACTCTCCACCATGGCCAAGACCAAAGAGCTCTCCAAAGATGTCAGGGACAAGATTGTAGACCTACACAAGGCTGGAATGGGCTACAAGACCATCGCCAAGCAGCTTGGTGAGAAGGTGACAACAGTTGGTGTGATTATTCGCAAATGGAAGAAACATAAAAGAACTGTCAATCTCCCTCGGCCTGGGGCTCCATGCAAGATCTCACCTCGTGGAGTTGCAATGATCATGAGAACGGTGAGGAATCAGCCCAGAACTACACGGGAGGATCTTGTCAATGATCTCAAGGCAGCTGGGACCATAGTGACCAAGAAAACAATTGGTAACACACTACGCCGTGAAGGACTGAAATCATGCAGCGGCCCGCAATGTCCCCCTGCTCAAGAAAGCACATATACAGGCCCGTCTGAAGTTTGCCAATGAACATCTGAATGATTCAGAAGAGAACTGGGTGAAAGTGTTGTGGTTAGATGAGACCAAAATCGAGCTCTTTGGCATCAACTCAACTCGCCGTGTTTGGAGGAGGAGGAATGGTGCCTATGACCCCAAGAACACCATCCCCACCGGGTGTTTTTCTGCAAAGGGGACAGGACAACTTCAGTGCATCAAAGGGACGATGGATGGGGCCATGTACCGTCAAATCTTGGGTGAGAACCTCCTTCCCTCAGCCAGGGCATTGAAAATGGGTCGTGGATGGGTATTCCAGCATGACAATGACCCAAAAAACACGGCCAAAGCAACAATGGAGTGGCTCAAGAAGAAGCACATTAAGGTCCTGGAGTGGCCTAGCCAGTCTCCAGACCTTAATCCCATATAAAATCTGTGGAGGGAGCTGAAGGTTCGAGTTGCCAAACGTCAGGCTCGAATCCATAATGACTTGGAGAAGATCTGCAAAGAGGAGTGGGACAAAATCCCTCCTGAGATGTGTGCAAACCTGGTGGCCAACTACAAGAAACGTCTGACCTCTGTGATTGCCAACAAGGGTTTTGCCACCAAGTACTAAGTCATGTTTTTCAGAGAGGTCAAATACTTATTTCCCACATTAAAATGCAAATCAATTTATAACATTTTTTACATGCGTTTTTCTGGATTTTTTTATTTTTTATTCTGTCTCTCACTGTTCAAATAAACCTACCATTAAAATTATAGACTGATCATGTCTTTGTCAGTGGGCAAACATACAAAATCAGCAGGGGATCAAATATTTTTTTCCCTCACTGTACTGAGGTCTTGTTCATAGTTTTCAGTTAGAGATCTAGTGCTTACATCGATCCAAGACGTCATTGTAGAATGTTCTCCGTACGGCAACGTCTTTTATTTAAAGTATCATGTAATAACATTTATGGAAATAACATTAGTCGTTTGAAGTTCTCTATGGCACTGTGTTGACTATCTAATGATTGTGTACAATCATTGTGTATTGGATTGTGGATTGTGTATTATTATATTGGATCTATAGGGAATCCTACAGTAAGTCAGAAAACACTAGCAAAACCAATTTAAAAACTTCAAAAATGTAAAAACGTTGAAGTGACTTAATTAGATAGTCTCATACATTCACAGATCATGTCAAATCACTTTTGTTTTAGGGTATTTAAACCAATTTTGCTTTGTAGCTTTAGTGATATACAGTGCATTCAGAAAGTATTCACACCCCTTTACTTTTTCCATATTTTGTTGTGTTACAGCCTGCATTTTTTATTGATTAAATTGATATTTGTGTCACTGATCTAAACACAATACCCCATAATGTCAAAGTGGAATTTAGTTTTTTGAAAAGTATTCAACCCATTTGTTATGGCAAGCCTAAATAAGTTCAGGAGTAAAAATGTGCTTAATAAGTTGCATGGATTCGGTGTTCAATAATAATGTTTAACATGATTTTTGAATGACTACCCCCATCTCTGTACCGCACACATACAATTATCTGTAAGGTCTCTCAATCAAGTAGTGAAATCCAAGCACAGATTCAACCACAAAGACATGGGGGGTTTTTCAATGCCTCGCAAAGAAGGGCACCGATTGGTAGATGTGTACAAATAAAAAAAGATGCTGAATATCACTTTGAGCATGATGAAGTTATTAATTAAGCCTTGGATGGTGTATCAATACACCCAGTCACTACACAAATACAGGCATCCTTCCTAACTCAGTTGCCGGAGAGGAAGGAAACTGCTCAGGGATTTCACCATGAGGCCAATGGTGATTTTAAAACAGCTACAGAGTTTAATGGTTGCGATATGAGAAAACGGAGGATGGATCAACAACATTGTAGTTACTCCAGAATACTAACCTAAATGACAGAGTGAAAAGAAGGAAGCCTGTACAGAATAAAAATATTCCAAAACATGTTTGCAACAAGGCACTAAAGTAATCCTGCAAAAAATGTGGCAAAGAAATGAACTTTTTGTCCTGAATACAAAGCGTTATGTTTGGGGCAAATCCAACACAACCCATCACTGAGTACCACTCTTCATATTTTCAAGCATGGTGGTGGCTGCATCATGTTATGGGTATGCTTGTCATCGGCAAGGTTTTTTTTGGGGGTTAAAAATAAATGGAATACAGCTATAAGCACAGGCAAAATCCTAGAGGAAACCCTGGTTCAGTCTGCTTCCCACCAGACACTGGGAGATGAATTCACCTTTCAGCAGGACAATAACCTAAAACACAAGGCCAAATCTACACTGGAGTTGCTTTTTTTTAAAACCCTTTTTCTCCCCAATTGGTTGTTACAGTCTTGTCCCATCGCTGCAACTCCTTTACGGACTCGGGAGAGACTACGGTCAAGAGCCACGCGTCCTCCGAAACACGACCCTGCCAAGCTGCACTGCTTCTTGACACAATGCTCGCTTGTCAGAGGAAACACAGTCCAGCTGGTGACCGAAGTCAGCTTGCACCCAGCCCGCCACAAGGAGTCACTAGATGGGACAAGGAAATCCCGGCCTGCCAAACCTTCCCCTAACCCTGACGACGCTGGGTCAATTGTGCGCGGCTCATGGGTTTCCAGGTCATGGCCGGCTGTGACACAGCCTGGGATCGAACCCGGGTCTGTAGCGATGCAGTGCCTTAGACCGCTGCACTACTCGGGAGGCCTACACTGGAGTTGCTTACCAAGAATACATAGAATGTTCTTTAGTGGCTCTAGTTAGTTTTGGCTTGAAAATCAATGGCAAGACTTGATAATGGGTGTCTAGCAATGATCAACAATCAACTTGACAGAGCGTGAAGAATTTTTAAATGAATAATGGGGAAATATTGTACAATGCAGGTGTGTAAAGCTCTTAGAGAGTTACCCAAAAGACTCACAGCTGTAATCGCCGCCAAATGTGCTTCTACAAAGTATTGATTTAGGGGTGTGAATACTTATGTAAATGACATATTTCTGTATTTCATTTTCAATACATTTGCTAACATTTCTAGAAACATGTTTTCACTTTGTCATTATGGGGTATTGTTTGTTGATGGGTGCGAAAAAAATCAGGCTGTAAAACAACAAAATGTGTAATAAGTCTTGGGGTATAAATACTTTCTGAAGGCACTGTATATTTGTCTGTCATTATGCTGCTCTATACACAAGATTGTGATCATTAAAATAAATAGATGTCAAAACTGCATTCCTACAGTACAGTTCTACAATGCCAGATATAGTTAGGGAGCAAATGACACTCAGATTGATAGCTCTCCCTCCATCTCTCCAATAAAGAGAAAAAGGCATCAATATTCTTCTACATTCTTGTCTTACCCTGAAAATGGTTGACGAAAGACAGACGGTGAGAGAGATGTTACTCCATTTCAGTTATTCCATCCATATTCCACTTGTTGTTCATGTCGTATTATCCTAATTACGGAATAAAATCGAATAGTTTTTTTTCCTTTCCTAAACTTTTCATTTCAGCACTAAGTTGAAAGAGGGCTGGCTCTGGCTCGAAGGCGTGTTTTCCAACAAAAACTTCGTCCAATCGAATGTTGTAAAGGCGTGGCCATGTAGATTAAATACGTAATATATACAACATGATCGACATATATTTTAACCAATGAACGCCAACAATTTTCTCTGACAAAATTATTGGCCAATAAGAGCATCCTCAGGGCGGGCTTATGGAAACTCCGGAATTGACGTTATACACGTGTAGCATGATGGTGGCTAGCAGCAGCTGAGAGAAGCCACAGAAAATATTATTTGTGATACCAGGTTGTTAATTGCAATTTTGCATGTTTATTAAAAAGTCCTTCCCTAAACGTGAAATCACTCAAATTCTGGTGAGTGGGTCTTTTACGCTACATTAGCTGTAGTTGCTTCCCCCTCTTTTTGCATGCTAACGTGTAACGTTACCTCTCTAGGTCATGGGTAACGTTAACTTATATGTATGTTTCATTGATCATCATTTAGCTAGCTATGTATGATATCTTCAGACAGTTTTTTAAAAGTCAGCATACATAACACGTTACGGAAAAGTATAGCTATACATGTCTTGCAATTATGAAGATGTAGCTAGCAAGCTAGCTAGTTGTGCTGCGTTCATAACCATGTGGGAAGGTGGTAATTCCAAGTTGTGAAGTGTTAAATACCAGTAGGATGCATTAATGTGCTTTGTTTGAACTCGTTGAGAAATGCCGATTGTCTAATGGTCAACAAGCTGCGTCAACCATAAAGTAAAAGTACAGCTGTCATGCTTGTAAACAAATGATAGTGTTCAAAAAACATATTAATAGAATGATTTTTATAAATAATGTTTTGTTGCATTTAACTGCCGAAAATGCTGTTATTGAGAGAATTTCCTTAGTAGTTTACGTCAGAGGTCAGCATGTGGGAGAAGTCGGAGCTCGTGATGTGGCGCAGCGGTCTAAGGCACTGCATCTCAGTGCTAGAGGCGTCACTACAGACCCTGGTTCGATTCCAGGCTGTATCACAATGTGGTTGGGAGTCCCATATGGCGGCGCTTAATTGGCCCAGAGTCGTCCGGGTTTGGCCGGGGTAGGCCGTCATTGTAAATAAGAATTTGTTCTTAACTGACTTGCCTAGTTAAATAAGGGTTAAATAAAAAAATAAAAGATGCGTTTCCCACTAATAATTACCAGTTGGATGGGTGTGAAAGTGGATTTTTCCCATTCGTATGTGGTAAATACCACCTTCCCACTTGGTTATGAACACAGCATTATTCACTAGGATATTCGCTCTAGAAAGTGTGTGGGTGCGGTTCCAATGTATGGTAGTGGTCACCAATCCTGTCCCTGTAGAGCTACATCCAGGGTGTGCACTGTGCTGGCTTTTGTTTCAACCCAACACTACCACACCTGATTGAACTTCTCAACAGAGCTTCAACAGTAGAACTTATGTAGCTAGATGTTGTTTAACGCTTCACCTGGCTGTCCTGTCAGGGGAGTCATGGTGACAAAGAAGAAAACTGTGAAAGTGGAGGCTGTGGTCTTGGACAAGGACAGGCTTGACAAGTTGATAGGTGAGAGGATGGATTTTGTGTTAGCTACTGATTATTGTAAGTGTGTTGGTGGTTTTTCTGCTGTGTAAAGTGATTATCTGTGTGTGTGTGTTTCAGCGTCTCTCTCTGTGGATGGAGGAGATGAAGTGATCAGACAGCTAGCCCAGACCTTGCAGGACTGTCTGGCGTTGACTGACCCAGTGCAGCAGATCCAACTGGTCAAGAAGGTTGGTGTCCATTCTCACTCTCATTACCTCAACTAACTGATAGTGTTTGGTATTTTAGATTTGGGTCACACCTATGATCGGGACGATAACAATTTTGCGATGCTCGTTAGTATCGTGGCAAGGAAACAAAACACAAAGCGGATTTAACTTATTTAGGAAAACAGCCCAAATGTTGTAAACAGACATCATTATCCAGTCACATTTATCCAATCAAATGTTATTTGTCACATGTTTCATAAACAACAGGTGTAACAATGCAGATAAAAAGAGATGAATAACAAAAAAATAATACCACGAGGAATAAATACACAATGAGTAACGATAGCTTGGCTATATACACAGCGTACCAGTACCGAGTCAAGGTGCAGGGGTACAAGGTAATGGAGCTTGATATGTACAGTGCATTCAGAAAGTAATCAGACCCCCTTGACTTTTTCCACATTTTGTTACATCCTAATTCTAAAATTGATTAAATAAATGTTTTTCCTCATCAATCTACACACAATACCCCATAATGACAAAGCGAAAACAGGTTTTTAGTAATTGTTGCTATTTTATTACAAATAAAAAACAGAAATACCTTATTTACATGAATATTCAGACCTTTTGCTATGAGACTCGAAATTGAGCTCTGGTGCATCCTGTTTTCATTGATCATCCTTGGGATGTTTCTACAACTTGATTGGAGTCTACCTGTGATAAATTCAATTGATTGGACATGATTCGGAAAGGCACACACCTGTCTATATAAGGTCCCACAGTTGACAGTGCATGTCAGAGCAAAAACCAAGCCATGAGGTCGAAGGAATTGTCCGTAGAGCTCCTAGACAGGATTGTATCGAGGCACAGATCTGGGGAAGGGTACCAAAACATTTCTGCAGTATTGAAGGTCCCCAAGAACACAGTGGCCTCCATCATTCTTAAATGGAAGAAGTTTGGAACCACCAAGACTCTTCCTAGAGATGGCCGCCCGGCCAAACTGAGCAATCGGGGGAGAAGGGCCTTGGTCAGGGAGGTGACCAAGAACCCAATGGTCCCTCTGAGGAGATGGGGAAACCTTCCAGAAGGACAACCATCTCTGCAGCACCCCACCAATCAGGCCTTTATGGTAGAGTGGCCAGACGGAAGCCACTCCTCAGTAAAAGGCACATGACAGCCCGCTTGGAGTTTGCCGAAAAGCACCTAAAGGACTCTGACCATGTGAAACCAGATTCTCTGTCAGAGGAAGGCCCTACAAATTGCCAGACTCCAGCCACCCTCGTCATAGACTGCTCTCTCTGGTACCGCATGGCAAGCAGTACCGGAGCACCGAGTCTAGGTCCAAAAGTCTTCTTAACAGCTTCTACCCCCAAGCCATAAGACTGCTGAACAGCTAATCATGGCTACCTGGACACTGATGCTACTCGCTGTTTATTATCTATGCATAGTCACTTTACCCCTACCTACATGTACATATTACCTCAATTACGTCAACTAACCTGTACCCCTGCACATTGACTCTGTACCGGTACCCCCTGTATATAGAATTGTTATTGTTATGTTATTGTTGCTCTTTTATTTTTTAAACTTTATATTTACTAAATAAATTATTCTTAACTCTTTTATTTTTCTTAACTGCATTGTTGGTTAAAGGCTTGTAAGTAAGCACTTCACGGTAAGGTCTACACCTGTTGTATTCGGCGCATGTGACAAATACAATTTGATTTGATGAAACCAAGATTGAACTCTTTGACCTGAATGCCAAGCGTCAAGTCTGGAGGAAACCTGGCACCCTACGGTGAAGCATGGTGGTGGCAGCCTCCTTGCTCGCACACGCTTTTTCAGTTCTGCCTACACATTTTCTATAGGATTGAGGTCAGGGCTTTGTGATGGCCACTCCAATACCTTGACTTTGTTGTCCTTAAGCCATTTTGCCACAACTTTGGAAGTATGCTTGGGGTCATTGTCCATTTGGAAGACCCATTTGCGACCAAGCTTTAACTTCCTGACTGATGTCTTGAGATGTTGCTTCAATATATCCACATCATTTTCCTTCCTCATGATGCAATCTATTTTGTGTAGTGCACCAGTCCCTCCTGCAGCAAAGCACCCCCACAGCATGATACTGCCACCCCCGTGCTTCACGGTTGGGATGGTGTTCTTCGGCTTGCAAGCTTTCCCCTTTTTCCTCCAAACATAAGAATGGTCATTATGGCCAAACAGTTTTATTTTTGTTTCATCAGACCAGAGGACATTTCTCCAAAAAATACGATCTTTGTCCCCATGTGCAGTTGCAAACCGTATTCTGGCTTTTTTATGGCGGTTTTGGAGCAGTGGCTTCTTCCTTGCTGAGCGGCCTTTCAGGTTATGTCGATATAGGACTCGTTTTACTGTGGATATAGATACTTTTGTACCTGTTTCCTGCAGCATCTTCACAAGGTCCTTTGCTGTTGTTCTGGGATTTATTTGCACTTTTCGCACCAAAGTACGTTCATCTCTAGGAGACAGAACGCGTCTCCTTCCTGAGCGGTATGACGACTGCGTGGTCCCATGGTGTTTATACTTGCGTACTATTGTTTGTACAGATGAACGTGGTACCTTCAGGCGTTTGGAAATTGCTCCCAAGGATGAATCAGACTTTTGGAGGTCTACAATGTTCTTTCTGAGGTCTTGGCTGATTTTCTTTAGATTTTCCCATGATGTCAAGCAAAGAGGCACTGAGTTTGAAGGTAGGCCTTGAAATACATCCACAGGTACACCTCCAATTGACTCAAATTATGTCAATTTGCCTATCAGAAGCTTCTAAAGCCATGACATAATTTTCTGGATTATTCCAAGCTGTTTATAGGCACAGTCAACTTAGTGTATGTAAACTTCTGACCCACTGGAATTGTGATACAGTGAATTATAAGTGAAATAATCTGTCTTTAAACAATTGTTGGTAAATTACTTGTGTCATTCACAAATTAATGTCCTAACTGACTTGCCAAAACTATAGTTTGATAAAAAAATATATTTGTGGAGTGGTTGAAAAACGAGTTATAATGACTCCAACCTAAGTGTATGTAAACTTCCGACTTCAACTGTAGGTAGGTATAAAGTCACTAGGCAAAAACGTGGGATTCAAATTGATTTAATTGTCATCTTTTGTCAACGATCTACACAAAATACTCTGTCAAAGTGGAAGAAAAATTCCAACATTTGTAAAAGATTAGATAAGTGTTCAACCCCCTGAGTCAATACATGTAATCACCTTTTGCAGCAATTACAGCTTTTAGTCTTTCTGGGTATCTCTTAAGAGCTTTCCACACCTGCATTGTGCAACATTTGCCCATTATTCTTTTCAAAATTCTTCAAGCTCTGTCAGATTGGTTGTTGATCATTGCTAGACAACCATTTTCAGGTCTTGCGCTAGATTTTCAAGCAGATTTTAAGTAATAACCGTAACTAGGCCACTCAGGAACCTTCACTGTCTTCTTGATAAGCAATTCCAGTGTAGATTTGGTCTTGTGTTTTAGGTTATTTTCCAGCTGAAAGGTGAATTAATCTCCCAGTGTCTGGTGGAAAGCAGACTGAACCAGGTTTTCCTCTAGGATTTTCCTGTGCTTAACTCCAATCCGTTTCTTTTTTATCCTGAATAACTCCCCAGTCCTTAGCGATTACCAGTATACCCATAACATGATGCAGCCACCACTATGCTTGAAAATATGGAGAGTGGTACTCGGTAATGTGTTGTATTGATTGTTTTTAGTGCCTTGTTGCAAACAGGATGCATGTTTTGTAATATATTTTTTTCTACAGGCTTCCTTCTTTTCACTTTGTCAATTAGGTTACTATTGTGGAGTAACTACAATGTTGTTGATCGCTGCTCAGATAATTGTGTGTGTGACGTACAGAGATGAGGTAATCATTAAAAAATCATGTTAAACACTATTCTTGCACAGAGTGAGTCCATGCAACTTATGTGACTTGTTAAGCACATTGAATACTTATTGACTCAAGACATTCCAGCTTTTCCTTTTTTATTCAAAATGTGTAAAAAGATAATTCCACTTCGTACATTATGTGGTATTGTGTTTAGGCCAGTGACAAACATATCTCAATTTAATCCATTTTACATTCAGGCTGTAACAACAAAATGTGGAAAGAGTCAAGGGGTGTGAATACTTTCTTTAGGCACTGTAACTATACTGAACAAAAATATAAACGCAACATGTAAAGTGTTTGTCCGATGTTTCATGAGCTGAAATAAAAGATCCCAGAAATGTTCCATATGCACAAGAAGCTTATTTCTAAAAAATGTTGTGCATAAATTTGTTTACATCCCTGTTAGTGAGCATTTCTCCATTGCCAAGATAATCCATCCACCTGACAGGTGTTGCATATCAAGAAGCTGATTAAACAGTAAGATCATTACACAGGTGCACCTTGTGCTGGGGACAATAAAAGGCCTCTTTAAAATGTGTAGTTTTGTCACACAATACAATGCCACAGATGTCTCAAGTGTTGAGGGAGCGTGCAATTGGCATGCTGACTGCAGGAATGTCCACCAGAGCTGTTGCCAGAGAATTGAATGTTCAATTCTCTACCATAAGCCTCCAACGTTGTTTTAGAGAACGTCCAACCGGCCTCACAACCGCAGGCCACGTGTATGGCGTCGTGTGGGCGAGCGCTTTGCTGATGTCAACGTTGTGAACAGAGTGCCCCATGGTGGGGTTATGGTATGGGCAGGCAAAAGCTACGAACAACAAACAATTGCATTTTATCAATGGCAATTTGAATGCACAGCGATAGTGACGAGATCCTGAGGCCCATTGTCGTGCCATCCATCTGCCGCATCACCTCATGTTTTAACATGATAATGTACAGCCCCATGTCGCAAGGATCTGTACAGAATTCCTGGAAGCTGAAAATGTCCCAATTCTTCCATGGCCTGCATACTCACCAGACATGTCACCCATTGAGCATGTCTGGGATGCTCTGGATCGACGTGTACTACAGCATGTTCCAGTTTCCGCCAATATCCAGGAACTTTTGCACAGCCATTGAAGAGGAGTGGGACAACATTCCACAGGCCACAATCAACAGCCTGATCAACTCTATGCGAAGGAGATGTCGCGCTGCATGAGGCAAATGGTGTTCACACCGGTTACTGACTGGTTTTCTGATCCACTCCCCTTACCTTTTTTTTAAGGTATCTTTGACCAATAGATGCATACAGTGGGGAGAACAAGTATTTGATACACTGCCAATTTTTTGCAAGTTTTCCTACTTACAAAGCATATAGAGGTCTGTAATTTTTATCATAGGTACACTTCAACTGTGAGAGACGGAATCTAAAACAAAAATCCAGAAAATCACATTGAATGATTTTTAAGTAATTAATTTGCATTTTATTGCATGACATAAGTATTTGATCACCTACCAACCAGTAAGAATTCCAGCTCTCACAGACCTGTTAGTTTTTCCTTAAGAAGCCCTCCTGTTCTCCACTCATTACCTGTATTAACTGCACCTGTTTGAACTCATTACCTGTATAAAAGACACCTGTCCACACACTCAATCAAACAGACTCCAACCTCTCCACAATGGCCAAGACCAGAGAGCTGTGTAAGGACATCAGGGATAAAATTGTAGACCTGCACAAGGCTGGGATGGGCTACAGGACAATAGGCAAGCAGCTTGGTGAGAAGGCAACAACTGTTGCTGCTATTATTAGAAAATGGAAGAAGTTCAAGATGACGGTCAATCACCCTCGGTCTGGGGCTCCATGCAAGATCTCACCTCGTGGGGCATCAATGATCATGAGGAAGGTGAGGGATCAGCCCAGAACTACACGGCAGGACCTGGTCAATGACCTGAAGAGAGCTGGGACCACAGTCTCAAAGAAAACCATTAGTAACACACTATGCCGTCATGGATTAAAATCCTGCAGAGCACGCAAGGTCCCCCTGCTCAAGCCAGCGCATGTCCAGGCCCGTCTGATGTTTGCCAATGACCATCTGGATGATCCAGAGGAGGAATGGGAAAAGGTCATGTGGTCTAATGAGACAAAAATAGAGCTTTTTGGTCTAAACTCCACTCGCCGTGTTTGGAGGAAGAAGAAGGATGAGTACAACCCCAAGAACACCATCCCAACTGTGAAGCATGGAGGTGGAAACATCATTCTTTGGGGATGCTTTTCTGCAAAGGGGACAGGACGACTGCACCGTACTGAGGGGAGGATGGATGGGGCCATGTATCGCGATATCTTGGCCAACAACAACCTTCCCTCAGTAAGAGCATTGAAGATGGGTCGTGGCTGGGTCTTCCAGCATGACAACGACCTGAAAAACACAGCCAGGGCAACTAAGGAGTGGCTCCGTATGAAGCATCTCAATCTCCTGGAGTGGCCTAGCCAGTCTCCAGACCTGAACCCAATAGAAAATCTTTGGAGGGAGCTGAAAGTCCGTATTGCCCAGCGACAGCCCCGAAACCTGAAAGATCTGGAGAAGGTCTGTATGGAGGAGTGGGCCAAAATCCCTGCTGCAGTGTGTGCAAACCTGGTCAAGACCTACAGGAAACGTATGATCTCTGTAATTGCAAACAAAGGTTTCTGTACCAAATATTAAGTTCTGCTTTTCTGATGTATCAAATACTTATGTCATGCAATAAAATGCAAATTAATTACTTAAAAATCATACAATTTGATTTTCTGGATTTTTCTTTTAGATTCCATCTCTGGATTTTTCTTTTAGATTCCATCTCTCACAGTTGAAGTGTACCTATGATAAAAATTACAGAACTCTACATGCTTTGTAAGTAGGAAAACCTGCAAAATCAGCAGTGTATCAAATAGTTGTTCTCCCCACTGTATCTGTATTCCCAGTCATCTGAAATCCATAGATTTGTCCCTAATGAATTTATTTCAACTGACTGGTTTCCTTATATGAACTGTAACTCAGTAAAATATTTGAAATTGTTGCATGTTACATTTTTATTCAGTATATTTAGCAGTCTTATGGCTTGGGGGTAGACGCTGTTCAGGGTCCTTTTTGTTCCAGACTTGGTGCATCAGTACCGCTTCCTGTGCTGTATCAGAGAAAACAGTTTCTGACTTGGGTGGCTGGAGTCTGACAATTTTTAGGGCCTTCTTCTGATTCCGCCTAGTATGGAGTTCCTGGATGGCAGGGAGCTCAGCCCCAGTGAGGTACGCACTACCCTCTTTAGTGCCTTGCGGTCAGATGCCAAGCAGTTGCCATACCAAGCGGTGATGCAGCTAGTCAAGATGGTCTCAATGGTGCAGCTGTATAACTTTTTGAGGATCTGAGGGCCCATGCTAATCTTTTCAGCCTCCTGAGGGGGAAGAGGCATTGTCGTGCCTTCTTCACGACTGTGTTGGTGTGTGTGGACCATGTTAATTCATTAGTGATGTGGACGCCGAGGAACTTGAAGCTCTTGACCCGCTCCAACTACAGCTCTGTCGATGAGGATGGGGGCGTGCTCGGCCCTCTGTTTCCTGTAGTCCACGATCAGCTCCTTTTGTCTTGCTGACGTTGAGGTCACTGACCGGTCACTACCCTATAGGCTGTCTCATGGTCGTCGGTGATCAGGCCAACCACCGTCAGCAAACTTAATGATGGTGTTGGAGTCGTGCACATCCACACAGTCGTGGGTGAACAGGAAGGGACTAAGCATGCACCCCCATGTTGAGGGTCAGCATGGCAGATGTGTTGTTGCCTACCCTCGCCACCTGGGGGCTTCCCATCAGGAAGACCAGGATCCAGTTGCATAGGGAGATGTTCAGTCCCATGGTCCTGAGCTTAGTGATGAACTTGGAGGGCACTATGGTGTTGAACGCTGAGTTAAAGTCAATAAACAGCATTCTCAAATAGGTGTTCCTCTTGTCCAGGTGGGAGAGGGCAGTATGGAGCGGATTAGATTCCGTCGTCTGTGGATCTGTTGGGGAGGTATTTCTTTATTTTCTAAGCTATAGCACACACTATTTTACATACAGACGGTTTTTAAAGGTCCAAATAGGTCTGCTTTGTGTGTTTATTTTTGCCATGGAAAAAATATTGCAATACTGGTATCGTCACAGCCCAAGTCACACCTCTGGTGCTCTGTGGGTTGGGTTGACATAAACATGCAGAGATGAGTGAACGTCAACTGTCTGGCGTGGGAGAACGTCAACTGTCTGGCTTGGGAGAACGTCAACTCGACCTGCACTGCAACAGAGAAGACACCAATATTGAGATGAGACTGTCAACTTAAACCATAAGTCCTACATGACACAGAACATTAGGCCTACAATACTGTATCTCTATGCCGGGACAAAAAACAACAAACTGTCATCCAATTAACTCCTGCACATATGTTTTCATCTCACCATGTTTGCCAACCCCTCCCAGGTTCTCCTGGCTGGTCTAATGTCAGTGTGTGTCTCCAGGCAGGATCTCAGTTGGAGCTGCTGAATGAGGAGGAAACTTCCCATGGGCCTCTCCTCCAGGCTTGTCTGCACACCCTGGCCCTCATCTACACCTCCCTGTTGGCCAAGAACCCCCTCCGTAGGGCCAGCGCCAGGTACACCTCTCTCCTCACCACCTCTTCCTCAGTCTCTGGCCCTGGAGAGCTACAGGGTGTGCAGGCTTTTGTTCCAGCCCAGCACAACCACAACTGATTCAACTATGCAACTGCTGATCCACACCTTAATGAGTTGAACAGGTGTGTTAGTGCTGGGTTGGAAGTGGAACAAAAGCCTACACATTCAGGACCAAGGATTGTGAACACTGCTCTACTGTTTTTTTAAAAAGTAGACTAGCAAACGTTATAGAATCGCTACAATAACGTAAACACTGAATCTACATGTTCTCTCTCTGCAGTGCCCTTAGCTCTGTACCAGACTGGCTGCAGGAGCAGACTGTCAGCTGTCTGTCCGTGTGTCTGTCAGACTGTCTGTCCACTGTGGGCTCAGACCACACCTCATACCCACACATGATAGACTCTATCACATCCTGCCTAGATGCCTTCCCTCTCGGTACATATGGAATCTCCTCATTTAGACTGTCTCTTGTGTTTGGTATAATTTGAATAAGATACACTTTATCCATAGTTCATTATATACCGAATGCTCTATTGCCTTTCAGGTGAGAGGTGTATACACGGTCTGCTAGCAGAGGGTGAGTGATTTGTTTATCTTCAGGTTTTTATCAAACCTGCTCAGGATGGTGAGCTCAAACACAGAAACATAGTTAATTGATGTCTTTGGGATAATATGCCTCTCCTTCTGTTCTTCTCTCCAGTGTTACAGTTCCTCCATAAGGCCTTGAGTGAATACCTCCAACTAAACAGGTAAGACAGCCTGTGCTTCTAAATCCTGGTCGTCGTGACCCACAGCACGGCAGGCCTTTGTTCGAGAACGGTACTAAAACACCCGATTCAACTAATACAGGACTTCATTAGTTGATTTAGTGTTAGTGCTGGGCTAAAACAAAAGCCTGCACCCACCCACAAGTATCAGGATTGAAAAATGTGTAGCGTGTGGCCTCTTACTGACTGGTGTGTGTTTGTCGCCCCCTGCTGTCTCCTCAGTGGTCTAGCAGGTCGCCATGTGGTCCAGGCCCAGCTCATGCACTCGTGTCTGGCTGCGGTCAAGGCCTCCATGCTGGTGGTGCAGAGGTCCCAGGAGCTCATCAGTGCCGCCCTACAGGCTGTCCAACCTCACTGCACCCTGCAGCTGACCCTCAGTGGCCTACTGGATTGCTACACACACATCCTCACAGATGGTGAGGACCATGTTACACCAGGGGTTTATTCACTAGGAACCAAACGGAAGCCAACAGAACGAAACGAGGAGGGACCTACCTGAATTTTTCCAATAGGAACTCTCGTTTTTGTTGCAAAACATTGTCCGTTTGGAGTAAACAGTTTCTGTTTTGCAAAACGTTTTGCAACTGTTTGCTATGGCTTGGTCTGAATGAATACACCCCTGGTTACTCAACATCAGCTCATAAAGTCTGGGCACTGAGCATGTAAGTAATGAGTGGGCTCCCCCCGACTCTTTCCATATATCTCTCTCCTTATCTCCCCTCTCTGTCTCGTCTGTTCTCTCTTTCCCCTCCGCTAGAGGAGTTTCTACAGTCTGTCCAGAGCACGGCTGGCATGGCAGTGGTCCTGCTGACCAGATCTGTCATGGGGAGTGGAGATCGAATGGCCGAAGTGGTGAGTGACCACTACACCCAATACACTCACAAATACCCTGAATGATTCCATTTGCATTGGATTCTTTTTGGTTGTTCAGTGATACTAGTAATGGCCATGATGTTGAATTATGGAACTTTTTGTCTGTGTCTCTTTCTGTATGTTTTTCTGTCTCTGTCCATCTGCCTGTCCAGGTGTCAGGTCTCCTGCAAGGTTCAGAGCAGAGTGGTGAGTGCGCCCCCGTGTGGCTGAGACAGAGCTGTATGGGGCTGTATGACAGTGGTCGTCCTGCGGGGGTGTCCCTCTACCTGTGTCATGGGGCCCTGGCTATGCTAAACTGGAGAGGGACAACCCAGGGGCCACAGAGGGAACAGCTGTTGCTGCTGGTTCCCCACACACTGCTGGCGCTGGACACCAGGTTAGTGACACATATGCACGCAGGAGCTAGCACGCTGACACGCCACACAGACACGCATGTACAGTGAGGGAAAAAAGTATTTGATCCCCTACTGATTTTGTACGTTTGCCCACTGACAAAGACATGATCAGTATATAATTTTAATGGTAGGTTTATTTGAAGAGTGAGAGACAGAATAACAAACAAAAAATCCAGAAAAACGCATGTCAAAAATGTTATAAATTGATTTGCATTTTAATGAGGGAAATAAGTATTTGACCCCTCTGCAAAACATGACTTAGTACTTGGTGTCAAAACCCTTGTTGGCAATCACAGAGGTCAGACGTTTCTTGTAGTTGGCCACCAGGTTTGCACACATCTCAGGAGGGATTTTGTTCCACTCCTCTTTGCAGATCTTCTCCAAGTCATTAAGGTTTCGAGGCTGACGTTTGGCAACTCGAACCTTCAGCTCCCTCCACAGATTTTCTATGGGATTAAGGTCTGGAGACTGGCTAGGCCACTCCAGGACCTTAATGTGCTTCTTCTTGAGCCACTCCTTTGTTGCCTTGGCCATGTGTTTTGGGTCATTGTCATGCTGAAATAACCATCCACGACCCATTTTCAATGTCCTGGCTGAGGGAAGGAGGTTCTCACCCACGATTTGACGGTACATGGCCCCGTCCATCGTCCCTTTGATGCGGTGAAGTTGTCCTGTCCCCTTAGCAGAAAAACATCCCCAAAGCATAATGTTTCCACCTCCATGTTTGACGGTGGGGATGGTGTTCTTGGGGTCATAGTCAGCATTCCTCCTCCTCCAAACACGACGAGTTGAGTTGATGCCAAAGAGCTCGATTTTGGTCTCATCTGACCACAACACTTTCACCCAGTTCTCCTCTGAATCATTCAGATGTTCATTGGCAAACTTCAGACGGGCCTGTATATGTGCTTTCTTGAGCAGGGGGACCTTGCGGGCGCTGCAGGATTTCAGTCCTTCACGGCGTAGTGTGTTACCAATTGATTTCTTGGTGACTATGGTCCCAGCTGCCTTGAGATCATTGACAAGCTCCTCCTGTGTAGTTCTGGGCTGATTCCTCACCATTCTCATGATCATTGCAACTCCACGAGGTGAGATCTTGCATGGAGCCCCAGGCCGAGGGAGATTGACAGTTATTTTGTGTTTCTTCCATTTGCGTATAATCGCACCAACTGTTGTCACCTTCTCACCAAGCTGCTTGGCGATGGTCTTGTAGCCCATTCCAGCCTTGTGTAGGTCTACAATCTTGTCCCTGACATCCTTGGAGAGTTCTTTGGTCTTGGCCATTGTGGAGAGTTTGGAATCTGATTGATTGATTGCTTCTGTGGACAGGTGTCTTTTATACAGGTAACAAGCTGAGATTAGGAGCACTCCCTTTAAGAGTGTGCTCCTAATCTCAGCTCGTTACCTGTATAAAAGACCCCTGGGAGCCAGAAATCGTTCTGATTGAGAGGGGGTCAAATACTTTTTTCCCTCACTGTATGCACACAAACACACACTTGTGCGATTACTTCCACCCAAATGGTTGTCATTTTGGTTGACTATTGTTCAGTCTGTGTCCATCTCTCTCTCTGTGTGTGTGTCTGCATGCGTACACGTATGTGTGTGTTTGTAGTATAAAGGAGTCCAGCACAGCCATGGTGGTAGCCCGCGTGCTGACCCTGTGGAGCGGAGCCGCCTTGGACAGCCTGCAGGGTGGGCAGTCCTCTCCACCAGACCTGCTTCACGACTCCCTCCGCGGGGGTTCAGAGCTCCAGGGGCACCTGCTGGAGCACGTCTACACCCACTGGGAGCACCCCTTGGATGGGGTCCGCCACCAGACCCGCGCCCTCTTCAAGAACCTCCTCCTCCTGCACCAGCACAGCAACCCTCTAGCCCTTTCTGACCCCCATAGGGACCCATACATCACCCAGCTAACCCACAACCTGCTGGGCCTGGAGTGGCACCAGAGAGGGAAGTATGGCTCTCTGGCCTGCCTGGTTGGAGCTCCTAGGGGCAGGGTACCTGTTGGCTCTGGACCCCCAGCTGCCCTCACGTCTCCTGGGCTTGATGGGGGACCAGACACTGGCACCTTACGCTAGCGACCTGCTAGAGAGGCTGTTTGTCAGTCACAAGGCCCAGCTGGTTGAGGAAGGTGGCACAGGGGGCACAGAGGCGGGCATGGAGAGGTGGCACCAGACCTGGGTGACCCCCCTGCTTCAGGTGCTGTGTAGAGCCAGGCTGGACCAGACCACCTATATCCTGGACTATTTCCTTCCCAAGCTTCTGCGCTGCTCCCCCTCCAGTCTGGCCCACATGGTACAGGCCCTACAGGACACACCACCCTGCAGCGCAGGTAGATATAAATGTACACGCACACAATCATGCATACATACCAGGGTCGCGTTAACGCAGGATTCTGCGTTTTTCATGCAGATGGGGAAAAAATATCTTGCAGCGTTTTGTAAGCGCAGATATAAAATGCTTCTTATTGTAAATTCTACTCGGCTTCAGTCAGGGTTAACTCCAAATCAGGAATGTAAAAGGACTAATTTCGTGATTCAGTTGCACTTCTCCACTCAGATTAAATATATTTGCTCTCATCATTGTAGTTTTTCTCCCGTAGCAAGTTAAAATGCAATTACAGTACCAGTCAAAGGTTTGGACACCTACTCATTCAAGGGTTTTTCTTTATTTGTACTGAAGACATCAAAACTATGAAAAAACACATGGAATCATGTAGTAACCAAAATGTTAGTGTTAAAATAGCCACCCTTTGCCTTCATGACAGCTTTGCACACGCTTGGCATTCTCTCAACCAGCTTCACCTGGAATGCTTTTACAACAGTCTTGAAGGAGTTTCCACATACAATGGGGGAAAAAAGTATTTAGTCAGCCTTCAATTGTGCAAGTTCTCCCACTTAAAAAGATGAGAGAGGCCTGTAATTTTCATCATAGGTACGCGTCAACTATGACAGACAAAATGAGAAAAAAAAATCCAGAAAATCACATTGTAGGATTTTTTATGAATTTTATTTGCAAATTATGGTGGAAAATAAGTATTTGGTCAATAAAAAAAGTTTCTCAATACTTTGTTATATACCCTTTGTTGGCAATGACAATCAAATTTTATTGGTCACATGCGCCGAATACAACAGGTGCAGACATTACAGTGAAATGCTTACTTACAGCCCTTAACCAACAGTGCATTTATTTTAAACAAAAAAAGTAAGAATAAAACAACAACAAAAAAAGTGTTGAGAAAAAAAGAGCAGAAGTAAAATAAAGTGACAGTAGGGAGGCTATATATACAGTAAAATAAAGTGACAGTAGGGAGGCTATATATACAGGGGGGTACCGTTGCAGAGTCAATGTGCGGGGGCACCGGCTAGTTGAGGTAATATGTACATGTGGGTAGAGTTAAAGTGACTATGCATAAATACTTAACAGAGTAGCAGCAGCGTAAAAAGGATGGGGTGGGGGGGCAGTGCAAATAGTCCGGGTAGCCATGATTAGCTGTTCAGGAGTCTTATGGCTTGGGGGTAGAAGCTGTTGAGAAGTCTTTTGGACCTAGACTTGGCACTCCGGTACCGCTTGCCGTGCGGTAGCAGAGAGAACAGTCTATGACTAGGTCAAACGTTTTCTGTAAGTCTTCACAAGGTTTTCACACACTGTTGCTGGTATTTTGGCCCATTCCTCCATGCAGATCTCCTCTAGAGCAGTGATGTTTTGGGGCTGTCGCTGGGCAACGCAGACTTTCAATTCCCTCCAAAGATTTTCTATGGGGTTGAGATCTGGAGACTGGCTAGGCCACTCCAGGACCTTGAAATGCTTCTTACGAAGCCACTCCTTCGTTGCCCGGGCGGTGTGTTTGGGATCATTGTCATGCTGAAAGACCCAGCCACATTTCATCTTCAATGCCCTTGCTGATGGAAGGAAAATTCTCACGATACATGGCCCCATTCATTCTTTCCTTTACACGGATCAGTCGTCCTGGTCCCTTTGCAGAAAAACAGCCCCAAAGCATGATGTTTCCACCCCCATGCTTCACAGTAGGTATGGTGTTCTTTGGATGCAACTCAGCATTCTTTGTCCTCCAAACACGACGAGTTGAGTTTTTACCAAAAAGTTCTATTTTGGTTTCATCTGACCATATGACATTCTCCCAATCCTCTTCTGGATCATCCAAATGCACTCTAGCAAACTTCAGACGGGCCTGGACATGTACTGGCTTAAGCAGGGGGACACGTCTGGCACTGCAGGATTTGAGTCCCTGGCGGCGTAGTGTGTTACTGATGGTAGGCTTTGTTACTTTGGTCCCAGCTCTCTGCAGGTCATTCACTAGGTCCCCCCGTGTGGTTCTGGGATTTTTGCTCACCGTTCTTGTGATCATTTTGACCCCACGGGGTGAGATCTTGCGTGGAGCCCCAGATCGAGGGAGATTATCAGTGGTCTTGTATGTCTTCCATTTCCTAATAATTGCTCCCACAGTTGATTTCTTCAAACCAAAGCTGCTTACCTATTGCAGATTCAGTCTTCCCAGCCTGGTGCAGGTCTACAATTTTGTTTCTAGTGTCCTTTGACAGCTCTTTGGTCTTGGCCATAGTGGAGTTTGGAGTGTGACTGTTTGAGGTTGTGGACAGGTGTCTTTTATACTGATAAAGTTCAAACAGGTGCCATTAATACAGGTAACGAGTGGAGGACAGAGGAGCCTCTTAAAGAAGACGTTACAGGTCTGTGAGAGCCAGAAATCTTGCTTGTTTGTAGGTGACCAAATACTTATTTTCCACCATAATTTGCAAATAATTTCATTAAAAATCCTACAATGTGATTTTCTGGAAATAATTTTCTCAATTTGTCTGTCATAGTTGACCTGTACCTATGATGAAAATTACAGGCCTCTCTCATCTTTTTAAGTGGGAGAACTTGCACAATTGGTGGCTGACTAAATACTTTTTTTCCCCACTGTATGCTGACCACTTGTTGGCTGATTTTCCTTAACTCTGCGGTCCGACTCATCCCAAACCATCTCAATTGGATTGATCGTGGGATTGTGGATGCCAGGTCATCTGATGCAGCATTCCTTCACTCTCCTTCTTGGTCAAATAGCCCTTACATAGCCTGGTGGTGTGTTGAGTCATTGTCCTGTTGAAAAACAAATGATAGTCCCACTAAGCCCAAACCAGATGGATGGCGTATTGCTGCAGAATGCTGTGGTAGCCATGCTGGTTAAGTGTGCCTTGAATTCTAAATAAATCACAAACAATGTCACCAGCAAAGCACCCCCACACAATAACACCTCCTCCTCCTCCATGCTTTACGGTGGGAACTACACATGTGGAGATCACAAAGACACTGCGGTTGGAACCAAAAATATCCAATTTGGCTCCAGACCAAATAACACATTTCCACTGGTCTAATGTCCATTGCTCGTGTTTCTTGGCCCAAGCGGGTCTCTTCTTCTTATTCGTGTCCTTTAGTAGTGGTTTCTTTGCAGCAATTCGACCATGAAGACCTGATTCACACAGTCCCCTATGAACAGTTGATGTTGAGATGTGTCTGTTACTTGAACTCTGTGAAGCTTTTATTTGGGCTGCAATTTCTGAGGCTGGTAACTCTAATTATCATCTGCAGCAGAGGTAACTCTGGGTCTTCCATTGGTGTGGCGGTCCTTATGAGTGCCAGTTTCATCATAGCGCTTGATGGTTTTTGCGACTGCACTTGAAAAAACTTTCAAAGTTCTTGATATATTCAGTGTTGACTGACCTTCATGTCTTAAAGTAATGATGGACTGTTGTTTCTCTTTGCTTATTTGAGCTGTTCTTGCCATAATATGGACTTGGTCTTTTACCAAATAGGGCTATCTTCTGTATACCCCCCTACCTTGTCACAACACAACTGATTGGCTCAAACACATTAAGAAGGAAAGAAATTCCATAAATCAACTTTTATGAAGGCACACCTGTTAATTGAAATCCATTCCAGGTGACTACCTCATGAAGCTGGTTGAGAGAATGCCAAGAGTGTGCAAAGCTGTCATCAAGGCAAATGGTGGCTACTTTGAAGAATCTCAAATATAAAATATATTTTGATTTGTTTAACACATTTTTGGTTACTACATGATTCCATTGGTGTTTATTTCATAGTTTTGATGTCTTCACTATTATTCTACAATGTAAAAATAAAGAAAAACCCTTGAATGAGTAGGTGTGTTCAAACTTTTGACTGGTAGTGTAACTATAAGCAAAACATTAGGAAATGTAGCTGGCTAAATTCTTTCTATGGTAAACATTAGAAATATGACGGCCATTCATAGTTTTTGCAAAAAATACCTTTGTTTTTCATTAAGTACATTTATGTATGGCTGGTAGCCAAATAGCATTGCACATCTGATGAAAAAGATTTTCTGTGCTAATGTATTTTGTGTGAAGGAAAACTAGTTGCACGGCCCTTCACTCTGTTGAAGACAAAAAACATTGACTGTCAGTATGAAACGCAGCTGAAGTGGTTTAAATGTAATTATAGTTTTTGTTTTCTTTCACGATATGACAATGCAATTGAATTACATTTAGCACTAAACAATAACTTGACAGACATGAATTTGCACAAAATTCAAGAAACCCGTTTTCGCTTTGTCATTATGGGGTATTGTGTTTAGATTGCTGAGGAATTTTTATTTATTTAATCCATTTTAGAATAAGGCTGTAACGTAACAAAATGTAACGTAACAAAATACAGAAATACCTTAAATAAGTTTTCAGACCCATTGCTATGAGACTCGAAATTGAGCTCCAGTGCATCCGGTTTCCATTGATCATCCTTGATGTTTCTACAACTTGGAGTCCACCTGTGGTAAATTCAATTGATTGGACATGATTTGGAAAGACACACACCTGTCTATATAAGTTCCCACAGTTGACAGTGCATGTCAGAGCAAAAACCAAGCCATGAGGTCGAAGGAATTGTCCGTAGAGCTCCGAGACGACAGGATTGTGTCGGCACAGATCTGGGGAAGGGTACCAAAACATTTCTGCTGATTGAAGGTCCCCAAGAACACAGTGGCCTCCATGATTCTTAAATGGAAGAAGTTTGGAACCACAAAGACACTTCCTAGAGCTGGCCGCCCGGCCAAACTGAACAATCGGGGGAGAAGGTCCTTGGTCAGGGAGGTGACCAAGAACCAGATGGTCACTCTGAAAGAGCTCCTGAGTTCCTCTGTGGAGATGGGAGAACCTTCCAGAAGGACAACCATCTCTGCAGCACTCCACCAATCAGGCCTTTATGGTAGAGTGGCCTGACGGAAGCCACTCCTCAGTAAAAGGCACATGAAGACGCTTAGAGATTGCCAAAAGGCACCTAAAGACTCTGACCATGCGAAACAAGATTCTCTGGTCTGATGAAACCAAGATTGAATTCTGTGGCCTGAATGCCAAGCGTCATGTCTGGACGAAACCTGGCTCCATCCCTGCTGTGAAGCATGGTGGTGGCAGCATCATGCTGTGGGAATGTTTTTCAGCGGCAGAGACTGGGAGACTCGTCAGGGTCGAGGGGAAAGATGAACGGAGCAAAGTACAGAGAGATCCTTGATGAAGACCTGCTCCAGAGCACTCAGGACCTCAGACTGGGTTGAAGGTTCACCTTCCCACAGAACAATGACACTAAGCACACAGCCAAGAAAACGCAGGAGAGGCTTCGGAACAAGTCTCTGAATGTCCTTGAGTGGCCCAGCCAGAGCCCGGACTTGAACCCGATCGAACATCTCTGGAGAGACCTGAAAAGAGCTGTGCAACGACGCTCCCCATCCAACCTGACAGAGCTTGAGAGGATCTGCAAAGAACAATGGGAGAAACTCCCCAAATACAGAGGACTTGAGGCTGTAATCGCTGCCAAAGGTGCTTCAACAAAGTACTGAGTAAAGGGTCTGAATACTTATGTAAACATGTCTACCTAACTGTTTTTGCTTTGTCATATAAATAAATAATATGCCATTTAGCAGACGCTTTTATCCAAAGTGACTTAGTCATGCGTGCATACATTTTTGTGTATGGGTGGTCCCGGGGATCGAACCCACTACCCTGGCGTTACAAGCGCCGTGCTCTACCAGCTGATCTACAGAGGACACACATTATGGGGTATTGTGTGTCGATAGATTCGTTTTTTTATTTATTTAATCCATTTAAGAATTTGGCTGTAATGTAACTAAGTGTGGAAAAGTCAAGGGGTCTGAATACTTTCTGAATGCACTGTATGTCTGTAGTCTATCAGACCATTACATATTGTTTTCTCTTTCTATCTCTGAGAGAAAATGTCCCTAGACGTCAGAAAAGTTATCGAGGTTACCATTCATTAAAAAAATCGATCTTTCATGTGAAGCTGTTTCTGCAAAGGCTATGTAGCATTCCTTATATGAGGGCGGGTCCTTCTCCCTCAGTGTCTCAATATGACTATTTTGGCTGAAACAGATTTTTTGATGGTCTGCATTTTGAAAATGCACATTTCTGAAATCTAATGTGAATCGTGCGTACACCTCCCTATATATACAAAATGTAAAAATGTTATGACACATTTATGTAATTTCTATCATGGTGTGTGTGTGTAGGACCTCCGGGCAGTAGGGGTGCTGTGGGGGCTCTGATGACGTGTCTGCGTGCAGCACGGGCCCAGGGGGTGGTCCAGTCAGAGGAGGGGCTGTGGGGGGGACTAGTACCCCTCTTTCTGCTCCGTCAGGCTCTGGTTCACAAACACGACCAGGTGAGGAGAGAACTCTGTGTGTGTATGTATATACTGTGTGTGTGTGGGGGTGTGTGTGTGTGTGCTAATGACGACATTCTTTGTCTTCTCAGGTGCGAATGGACGCGCTTGGGTTATTGTGCGAGAGTCATCGTAGCACAGAGGTTCTGACCTCGCAGGAAATGGAGCTGCTTCATCACTTCCTGCCCTCCAGTCTGAGCAGCCAATCACCAGGAGTCAGGCAGCTGACCATCAGCCTGCTCAAAAAGGTCAGACACACACTGCTTTTTTGATCCAGTATTGTTTTATAAATTAATGGGCTTTGCAGAGACCCAGATTGAGATTAAGTATGCTCATGGACTAAAGCACTTTCAATGAATTGCCCATTCAAAGTTCTTTTTAGTCAAGGAGCAGACTGACAAGTAGATATCTATTGATTTCTGTGTGTGTTTAGCTCCTGTGCAGAGTGAAGGATAGTGGTCAGTCATTGCAGAGGAGGCTGGTCCAGGAGAGAGACCAGGGACAGAAGGACAGAGACCAACACACCCTGGACACATACAAGGTACACTATGATAATGGACTGAATTATATAGGGCTCAAAGATCTGTACCATGTATCCTAAGTGGGGAAGACACTGAGGAGAATGGGAATGTTTGGGGAGATGGGAGGTAGAGTTTTTACAAAACTGCTCTGTATCCAACGTGTGTGCGAATGTCTGTGTGTGAATGTGTGATCAGGAGTTCCTGTGCTGGCTGTGTGAGAGCCTGTTCATGGTGCTTCTCCCCGGGGCCTCCTTCTCCACCTGTCTGACAGCCCTCCACCTGCTGTGCCAGCTGGCCCAACTCTTCACCTTCAACACTGGTACTGTACACACACGCACACACACTTACTTTACATCATTTTCATCATCAATTACCACTCCATCATTATCATTCTTATCAACTGTAATCATACACATTCTCGCTCTCTCTCCTCTCTCTCAGGGCCTGATGATGTGTTTGCTCTGGGAGAGGTGGTGACTCCTGCACATGCACAGAATGTCCTCTACTGCGTCGCCAGCAACTTCCTGGAGGTCAAGCAGCTGGCCTCTACGTTGCTACGGCAACTCCCTCCATCTGCTGTGGGGCTGCAGGTTAGTGAGACAAGCTTTGATGGTTCCATAGACCTGCCCTTGGTCACTCTACATACATAGTCATGTACTCTATGGTATATCTCACTTACTTTAGGAACACACAACATATACACCTTCATATTGCAGTGAACATCATTAAGTTTGCCGACGACACAACAGTGGTAGGCCTGATCACCGACAACGATGAGACAGTCTATAGGGAGGAGGTCAGAGACCTGGCTGTGTGGTGCTAGGATAACAAACCTCTCCTCAACGTGATCAAGACAAAGGAGATGATTGTGGACTACAGGGGGAGAAAAAGAGGACTGAGCACGCCCCCATTCTCATCGGCTTGTATGAAAGGGAGAGCTCAACTGGTGTCATATCACCACAAACTATCATGACACACCAAGACAGTCTGAGAGGCACGACAAGCCTATCCCTCCAGAAACTGAAAATTGGCATGGGTCTTCTCAAAAAGATTACAGCTGCACCATCGAGGCACCGACTGGTTGCATCTGTTGGCAACGCTGCCTCTGACCGCAAGGCATACGGGGTAGAGCGCCCAGTAATCACTGGGGCCAGCTCCTGCCACAGGACCTATCAGGCGGTGTCAGAGAAGCCTCACAATTGTAGGTCCACCTAGCATAGACGTTTTTCTGCTTACCGCACGGCAAGCGCTCAAGTTCAAGTGTAGTCAAAGGCTTCTCAACACCCCCAAGCCATAAGACTCCTGAACAGCTAATCAAATGGCTACCGACTATTGCTTGCCCCCCCACCCCCCCCCCCCCACTTTTTGCTGTCTATATAAAGCCATTAGCGCGCTTTTATCCAAACGCACCCACAAGCGCCATGCTCTACCAATTGAGCTACAGAGGACACTAACTCTACCCACATGTACATATTACCTAAATTACCTCGACTAACTGGTGCCCCCGCATATTAATCTGTACCGGTACCCCCTGTACATAGCCTCCCTACTGTTATTTTATTTTACTGCTGCTCTTTAATTATTTGCTATTTTTATTTTTTACTTATCTATTTTTTTACTTAACACTTTTTTTTCTTTTCTTAAAACTGCATTGTTGGTTAAGGGCTTGTAAGTAAGTATTTCACTGTAAGGTCTACACCTGTTGTATTCGGCGCATGTGGCAAATAAAATTGTATTTTATTTGAACTTGGTAGTGGGACATGAACCTGTAACTAAGCTCAAGCCTGGATTGTGCCAGCATGGCCTAATTGCTACAACATGTGCCCAGAATCTTGAAACTTAGAGCTCCTGGTTTAATCGAAGAGTTGGTAGACTGGAGAGCTTGAATGTGTGTGTCAGATTGAGGTTGTGGCGTAATGATGGCTGCTTTATCCATTACACTCCATCCATCCCTATCCCTCCCGTAGGAGCCAGGCAGGATGCAGGCTCTGCTCCAGGCAGCTCTGGACCTAAGCACCAGCACCAAGCCTTTTGACAGTGTCACGGCGGCCCACCTCTTCAACATGTTCCTTCACCAGCCTGCCCTGCCCCAAGCCCTGTTGCTCTGTGCCCAGGAGCAGGGCCTCTCCTTCCAGCCTCCTGCTCTAACCCAGCCCCAGGCTTTTGAGGCCCTCACCATGGAGATCAACACTCTGGCAGGTAATAGACTCTAGTTATTTTCTTAAACTCAAAGCACTTTACATTGTATGGGGTTGCATTGAAGTTATTTTTACGCCAAAAGCGAACTACACCGGCTGTCATTTTCCTCAGTTCACAGATACTGCTCAGTGCTTGCAGTAATTGACATCACCATGCTATACTGCTATGTGTGGTGTGATTGTGTGTCATATTTAGTTTGTGTGTGTGTGTTTGTTTCAGTGGTGCAGTTCTTGTTGCTGTGTCTGAAGGCTGAGGTGGTGAAGGCAGAGTCGTCTCTCCTGCTGGCGGCAGCCTCCTACCCTCTCTACGGCCGAGCCCACTGTATCACTGCTGCCTTACAGCAGCTCAACACTGGGTGAGGACACACACACAAACGCGCGCGCACACACACACTCACGTCCACTTTTGTCTTAGCCAGTCTGTGTGTATTGTTTATCCTGTTTGTTGGTGTGTGTCCAGGTGTCTGACTCTGACAGGCCAGTGGAGGAGTGTGGTGTCAGAGCTCATCACGGTGTCCTATAGGATGTCTGACGTAGTGTCACCTGTCGTCCAGAGCTCCTCCCCCGAAGGTCTCATCCCTATGGATACCGACTCAGGTCAGCACCTCTGGTCTAGATTAGCGAGTGAGGATGCCTCATAACTAGTGCCCAGAGTTTTTCTTGGTAAGGAAAAACACCTGGCCCTACACAAGGCAGATGGTGTGTTTTTAAAGAAGTGTATCTTAAAAAGTGTGTGTGTGTCATGGCCCTACATAAGGCTGGTAGTGTGTGTTAAAGAAGTGTAAAAAGTGTGTGTGTGTGTGCCTCTTCTCAGAAACGTCCGCTGGTCTGCAGAGGATCCTGCAGGAGATCCAGCCTCGCGACACCAATGACTTCTTCACCAGCGCCAGAGAGCTGGACACACAGCAGTCTGGACAGGAGAACGGACCTGCAGCCCCCACAGACAGACCACAGCATGAGAGCACAGGTCAGCAATACACATTTCCCCTCACTCACTGAACTAGGATATATCATATCAAAATGTGTGTTCTATCAGACTCCTCAGACACAGCAGATGAGTGGTGAAACACTGACCCCATCAGGACATAGCCAGTACTACAGCCATCTCAGTGTTTCACCACCCCTCACCCGCTGGGACAGGTGTTATGTACCACTAGAGTGGATACAAAGCACACAGTGAAAATACAATTTGTTTGGCGTGACCCATTCTAGAAGGATTTTGGTTGGGTAGTGAATTTTCAGTATGCGTCTGCGTGTGTTGTAGGTGGTAGTGGTGAGGGCTACAGGGTGACAGCTCAGATGGTATTGGTGTGCTGCTGGAGGAGTATGAAGGAGGTGTCCATGGTGCTGGGACAAGTGTGTCAGAGCCTCCCCCTACAGACCCCCAACACACACTCTGACCATTGGCTCATCACCGAGGAGCAGGTGAGACACACATACAGTACTAGTCAAAGGTTTGGACACCTACTCATTCAAGGGTTTTTCTTTATTTTTACTATTTTTTACATTGTAGAATAATAGTGAAGACATCAAAACTATGAAATAACACATATGGAATCATGTAGTAAACAAAAAAGTGTTAAACAAATCAAATAGCCACCCTTTGCCTTGATGACAGCTTTGCACACTCTTGGCATTCTCTCAACCAGCTTCACCTGGAATGCTTTTCCAACAGTCTTGAAGGAGTTCCCACATATGCTGAGCACTTGTTGGCTGCTTTTCCTTCACTCTGCGGTCCGACTCATCCCAAACCATCTCAATTGGGTTGAGGTCTTGGGATTATGGAGGCCAGGTCATCTGATGCAGCACTCCATCACTCTCCTTCTTGGTAAAATAGCCCTTACACAGCCTGGAGGTGTGTTGGGTCATTGTCCTGTTGAAAAACAAATGATTGTCCCACTAAGCCCAAACCAGATGGGATGGCGTATCGCTGCAGAATGCTGTGGTAGCCGTGCTGGTTAAGTGTGCTTTGAATTCTAAATAAATCACAGACAGTGTCACCAGCAAAGCACCCCCAAACCATAACACCTCCTCCTCCATGCTTTACGGTGGGAACTACACATGCGGAGATCATCCGTTCACCCACACGGCGGATTGAACCAGAAATCTCAAATTTGGACTCCAGACCAAAGGACAAATTTCCACCAGTCTAATGTCCATTGCTCGTGTTTCTTGGCCCAAACAGATCTCTTCTTCTTATTGGTGTCCTTTAGTAGTGGTTTCTTTGCAGTAAATAGACCATGAAGGCCTGATTCACGCAGTCCCCTCTGAACAGTGGATGTTGATGGTTTTTGCGACTGCACTTGAAGAAACTTTCAAAGTTCTTGAAATGTTCAGTGTTGACTGACCTTCATGTCTTAAAGTAATGATGGACTGTTTCTCTTTGCTTATTTGAGCCCAAATAGGGCTATCTTCTGTATACCCCCCTACCTTGTCACAACACAACTGATTGGCTCAAACGCATTAAGAAGGAAAGAAATTCCACAAATTAACTTTTAACAAGGCACACCTGTTAATTGAAATGCATTCCAGGTGACAACCTCATGAAGCTGGTTGAGAGAATGCCAAGAGTGTGAAAAGCTGTCATCAGGCAAAGGGTAGCTATTTGAAGAATCTCAAATATAAAATATATTTTGATTTGTTTAACACTTTTTTGGTTACTACATGATTCCATATGTGTTATTTCATAGTTTTGATGTCTTCACTATTATTCTACATGGTAAAAATAAAGAAAAGCCCTTGAATGAGTAGGTGTGTCCAAACTTTTGACTGATAGTGTACACACACACACACACACACACTCTTAAACATGAACTCAATGCCATCTCTTTTACCCTTATATGTAAAGACAGCCTCACACTCACTGAATACATGCTTGAACAAAATACCAGTAAAACTCACTCCTAGTTAACTGTATGTTGTTGTTTATATCCAGACACACACACATGCCAATACGCTCCGGTGCTCCCAGCATGGATGTGGGCCTGGAGGTGGTGTTAAGGGATGGCATGTTTACTGTGTGTCTACTGTAGTGAAAATCTTAAATTAGCATCCGCCCTCGTTAGCAGATCGCTTTCATTTTAGGACTACCAGCTGTTTAACGGCCACGATTGCCTCAGTTCCCAACTTTCCTCGCATTCTTTCCAAATCACTTCCACTACCACCCGACCCTCTCCTGAATTGGTAAACACTAAAACCCCCTCAACCCTCTGTTCTCTCTGGCCACATAGCAAACACGAACAGACAGCCTGCTCAGTGCTCAGACCTCACTCCCTTACCCCAGGCCAGCACTGTCAAATAGGCTATAGCGTTTATGTCCGCTTGATCTCATGTTGTCTTTTTGGTCTCGTCTCCTTCGCTCCTTCTGTGCTGTGTGCACCTTCCTATTTACACCAGAGATCTGAATAAAATGAGGAGATGCTAATGTCTCCGCTCTAACAATGGGAGTCAATGCAGGCGACAAGCTTAGGTCCAAAATAAGCCCATAGGAACACACATTGGGCTTATTTTGGACTGATTTTAGGGAGAGTGAAACTTCTCGCTTCGCTTCTTCCTCTCGGTTTACACACACGCCAAGCCCGTCCCCCTGCCACTTACACCAACAAAGTTGAGAGAACACTTCTTCCTACTACTTGCTAATTGCATTTGAGGCTTGGTCCAACAGAATCGGTCATATGGACCCTGAAACTCATTGAGGCATTATTTTACTGTAATAGAGGAGAGGTTAACCTTTCTAACGATACCATTTTTATGTCTCAACTACTCAAATAGCGCGCAGAGCAGACACTACTAAAACAGGAGTATCTATGAACATTGATTCTGGAAAATGAATGCTCAAGTTTGTCGCACGCAGCATTGCGGTACCATGTACCACTAGCAGCGTTTTAGCCAAATACTGTTATACTAGCTGTCTAGTATGTGTTTTATAAATGTGCAATAAGTATAAAACACATTTATATAAGGAATTGGCAACTCCTTCACGTTCGGAGAAATAAGGTAGGCCACTTGATTTTAACATCTGAAGTGGACAGGCTAGCATGCTGTTCAAACAGTTGGAGATGGACAGAAAGGTGTGTTCATAACAATTCACCTGTTCTGCCTTGTTAGCTAGCAAATATATCCAAGTTGGTTAAACTTGAAAAATAAAGATTAGCTGGGTTTCCACTAGTTGCCACATACTTTATTTGTGTGTGTATATATATATATATATATATACATACATATACATACATACATAACTGGTTGGTTCGAGCCCTGAATGCTGATTGGTTGACAACCGTGGTATATCAGACCGTATACCACGGGTATGACAAAACATTTTATTTTTAATGCTCTAATTACGTTGGTAACCAGTTTATAATAGCAAAAAGGCACCTCGGGTTTGTGGTATATTGCCAATATACCACGGCTAAGGGCTGTATCCAGGCACTCCATGTTGCGTCGTGCATAAGAACAGCCCATAGTCGTGGTATATTGACCATATACCACATCCCCTCGGGCCTTAATGCTTAAATATACAGTACCAGTCAAAAGTTTGGACACACCTACTCATTACAGGATTTTTCTTTATTTGTGCTTTTTTCTACATTGTAGAATAATAGTGAAGACATCAAAACTATGAAATAACACATATGGAATCCTGTAGTAACCAAAAAAGTGTTCATATATTTTAGATTTTAGATTCTTCAAAGTAGCCACCCTTTGCCTTGATGACAGCTTTGCACACTCTTGGCATTCTCTCAACCAGCTTCACCTGGAATGCTATTCCAATAGTCTTGAAGGAGTTCCCACATATGCTGAGCACTTGTTGGCTGCTTTTCCTTCACTCTGCGGTCCAACTCATCCCAAACCATCTCAATTGGGTTGAGGTTGGGTGATTGTGGAGGCCAGGTCATCTGATGCAGCACTCCATCACTCTCCTTCTTGGTCAAATAGCCCTTAAACAGCCTGGAGGTGTGTTGGGTCATTGTCCTGTTGAAAAGCAAATTATAGTCCCAGTAAGTGCAAACCAGATGGGACAGTGTCACCAGCAAAGCACAATCACACCACCACCTCCATGCTTCACGGTAGGAACTACACATGCGGAGATCATCCATTCACCTACTCTGCGTCTTACAAAGACGCGGCGGTTGGAACAAAAAATCTCAGATTTGGACTCATCAGACCAAAGGACAGATTTCCACCGGTCGAATGTCCATTGCTCGTGTTTCTTGGCCCAAGCAAGTCTCTTCTTCTTATTGGTGTCCTTTAGTAGTGGTTTCTTTGCAGCAATTCAACCATGAAGGCCTGATTCACACAATCTCGTCTGAACAGTTGATGTTGAGATGTGTCTTTGACTTGAACTCTGTGAAGCATTTATTTTGGCTGTAATTTCTGAGGCTGGTAACTCTAATGAACTTATCCTCTGTAGCCGAGGTAACTCTGGGTCTTCCTTTCCTGTGGCCGTCCTCATGAGAGCCAGTTTCATCATAACGCTTGATGGTTTTTGCGACTGCACTTGAAGAAACTTTCAAAGTTCTTGAAATGTTCCGTATTGA